GTGTTTATTAAAATAATATGCATAATAACATTAAGTTCTAGATATTTCATTAGTTTTAGTTCACCTGTTCAACTGTTACGACACCTCCTCAAGGAAACTGTAACCTGCTAGAATCTAGAATTTTAGATTTAGATACATGCATGAGTAAATTCTCAGTTAGGTCTTAAATTTGTATCAGAAAACATTCTTGTGAAAACACATATATACAGTGAATGCAGCCATATCCTATTAATAAATAGTAGTTTATTAGGTAAATAATAAGCCAAGTTTTCTTACTGCTTTAAATCTCAGGCTAACTCTGGGAATCCTGTTAGAACTTTTCATGTAACAGCTACCTTCAGTGCTGATTTTTATAGTTTCAGAAAACTGACTTTTGAGTAAGAACTTTGGACTGATTCCTTAAAACCAAAGTGCTATAAAGTGCAATGGAAGATGAGGAAGGGTTGTGATGTCACAGCAAGCCAGATGTTTAGATCTCTCAAATACCTGTCCTGCAAACAGCTAGAGAGCCACCTGAGACCTGCTGTTCAAGAGGCCTGAAGTTGGTCATCACATCCTGTTTTCTGTGTGTTTTTTTTTTTAAAGAACTGTAATAAACATGCATAGTAAATGATTCCTGAAAAGACTTTGCCCAGTCTTTTTAATATTTAAAATTTGTCACTAGTGAACCTTCCCAGTTGTCATTCTTGAGGATTTATCTTGTCTACTTCCAAAAAACATAGAGTTGATTTTAGAATACAGCTGCAGTTGGTAAGTAAACATCAGTTCATAATCAAGATTTTTCGGGGCTGGGGATGTGGCTCAAGTGGTAGCGCGCTTGCCTGGCATGCGTGCAGCCCGGGTTCGATCCTCAGCACCACATACAAACAAAGATGTTGTGTCTGCCGAGAACTAAACAAAATAAATAAATATTAAAATTCTCTCTCTCTCTCCCTCCCCCCCCCTTTAAAAAAAAAAAAAAGATTTTTCACAGAAGGTACTGTGAGTTATGCCCAGTAACTCACTGGTTATTTAGCACTTTTGGGCAGGGGTGGGGGTTTATTATCTGATGAAAAAAAAAAAAGTAGGAAAATTATAGCTACTTACATTACAGGCACATGCTATTGTTTAATGTATTCGTTTGCATTAATGAAGAGGCATAAATCCATTGGAAGAACCTAAATGCCCCTGTGGTGCGTTTTTCAAATATTGGCCTTGGAGCTATTGGAGAAGATGTGCACCCTGGGGGCCAGCATTATGAGTCATAGACTCTCAGTGGGGTTTTCCTTGTCATTCTGACCTCACTTGAAAAACTGAGCCAAAGTTGATTCTTTCTTAAGCCTTCATCAGGAACTCGCACTATTTATTTTTCTAGGAGAGGAGATGATGCATAAAATAAATTCTTATCAACTATCTAATCCTTCCTTTACCAAAGTAATGAGATTTTTTTTTCTTCCCAACCTTTTTATTTTTATTCCTTCCTCAATTAAAGGTCTTTTTCATTTGCCAGCTGGTGCATTCATGGACGTTTTCTTTTTTTCAAGTTATGCCTTGGGGAGGCTGTCCTGTGACATGCACATGCACATGTACATGTCGTGGATTAGCTGGAAATTAGTTAAGAAAGCCCTGCAATATGACATGTGTGCCAACAGTTGGGTGGCAACAGCAGGCCTGGTGGGGTAGAGGGGCAATTTCTGATTTCATTGTTTCTTGTTCCCTGCTTCTTTAATGTTTCCTTTAGAAAGCCTTGAAGTTTATTTCTTCCTTTAAAATGTGAATTTATATTAAACTTAGTATAAGCTTTTTATCTTGGGGTGGATACAGCTGCATTGAGCTATCTGGAGACTCTGGAACTCTCTCCTGTACTAAATATCTGGCGTCTAGTAATCATCCTTCTTTACTAAATCTCGTTAGCAGAGGCTCCATCAGCAGTGGCAGAAGTACCTAAGGCAGAAAGAGAAGGCTGTGCCAGTGTTCTGCTTTGACTTAATTCAGGGGCACATTTAAGTAAATTAAAGTGGTCAGGTGATATGTCCCTATGGTGAATTGAGTTTATATTCTTTACATTGAGTAATTATTTAATATGGCTTCATGCTGTTAGGTTATGTTTGTGCATGCACATTTAGCAGAGAAAAACACCAACAGGGAATGGTTTTAAGCACCAGTAAATTATTTGGGGGCAAACATTATCCCTAATTACTTTTCTACCTGGAAGCTTGTGACTTATGAGAAAAGTCATAAAGAAACTGAAATAGGAGGCTCTGGGGTAATAGTGTAAGCATTCTAAGTGGTAAAACCTTCAACAGCTTTGTCATAAAGATTCCTCATTTTGTGATGAAGTTGCTTAATGAAGTCATGTATTTCATATAAAGTACAGCATTTCCAAGGGTTTAAGAATTTTTGCATTCTTTTTTTTTACTGGAAAATCATAGAGCATAAGTTTGATACCCTAGTCACCCAAAGCTTTTGAGTTCTGGCTCTGTCACTTACCAAGAGTGATGGGAGCCTCATTTTCTCATTGGTAAAATAGGGATTATAAAATCAACCTCAGAGGTGTTCCGGGCTGAATGTGGTAACAGATGGAAAGCGAGGAGTGTGTAGTGGAAGGTCAGTGCAGGCTCCCTCTCTGCTTCCCCTTTGTACCTTTCCTTTTAGACACAGTATTATGCTTCATATTTGGATATGGTAGTCATCACTGATTATAATCAGCGCGTGTGGTTCAAGAAGTGCATTTGGCCAACATTCCTTTTCACAGCATGCACAAGGTAATGTTGTTCTTTAACTCAGGGTTGTTCTCTGCTGAATCTTAACAGCTACTGCCACTTCGTTCCCCCCATTGCCCATTATCATCTGCTCAAAAAGTGCTGCGTGTTAGGCTGTAGCATGTTGTAGCTGCTTTTTGAAAGCATTATTTGATGTCTGGGAATATTCCTTTGCTTTTGGAATGTGGCTATCTAGGTGTTGCTGGTTGTCGTCATAATGAAGGTGTCACTGTTGGGTGAAAGAGCAGCAGGCTTGCAAGATGCTCAGTGCTTTTGAGTGGCAGCACAGTTCTTAAGGCTATGGGAAGAGCCAGGGCTTCCTGGCCTGTCTACCTCCCCCACTTCATCTTCTTCTTACTCATAAACACCCTGTCATCTCACTTTGAAACAAGCCGCTGCTGTTGGTTGGGTGGCATGAGCTGGAAACATATGTTACTCCTATAAGAGAAGAGAAAGAAAGCCTTCACATTTGCAGTCAGTGCTGGGCCCATTTCCTTCATCATTCCTGGCAAGTAGTGAGTGAGCACTTGAAGGAATATGTGCATGAATGAATGGACTCAACTGTAGTATTCGTTTATATTTTTCATGTAGTTGAGTTACTTTCTTCTAGATTTGGGGAATTTCCTACAAGGATTAGTTCTTCTAAAACTCTCCTTCTAAAACTTTCCTACTCTTAGGACCTAGTAGAAGCTTGAACACTTAGTAAGTTAAAGCACAGCGCATGCTTATCCTGAGTCCATCTTCTGTTCTTCATATCAGTGTTTACTTAGTAATTGAAACTTTCATTTCTCTGGAGATGATCAATATACAGTTCTTTCCCCCCCCCTTAAGTTTTATCCTACGTGCAACTTTACGTTTCTATTTTCCTTCTGTTTTCTAAATATGAAGACTTCATTGTTCTCCATCTATGATTTGAGCGTGTGGGCAGTTTTCCATGTCATGTAAGAGGTAGAGATGAAAATAAAAATTTCACAGCATCTTGTTCCTAATAATTTTTGTGTTTATATATTTTTGTTCTTTTTTCAGTTGGCTTGATTTCATGTTTTCTTACAACCATCTCTTTTGTGTGTGTGTGTGTGTGTGTGTAGTGCTGGGGATTGAACCCAGGGCCTTGTACATACTAGGCGAGCACTCTACCAGCTGAGCTGTATCCCCAGCCCCCATCTCTTTGTTCTGACAAACAACCTAACAGATTTGGAATACCCAGAACTTCTCTTTCATCAAATCCACTAACTTGACCTAGGCTCCTTCCTCAAATATTGGTGTGGATTCCAGAAATATGAATAAACATCTTCAGCCATCATCCCCAGAGAGATCGTACATCATTCTCACCTGTATACCCCCTCCTTTTATATTGCGTTAGATTTCAACCTGATGGGGAATCAAATGCCTGTTCTCTAAAATTAGTGTTCAGTAATGAAATTATTGATTTGATATTTTATTGCTAAAATTGGCCTTTCATAGAGTCCAGACCTCTTTTGTATCACTGGCAAGGGGTAAGCAAGGTTCTGGGCTGGAATATCCTCTAATGCTGTACTATCTGCAATATACTATTCGATGACTCCTTTTCTTTCTGGTTTCTTTTTTTTTACTGTAAAGTCTGAAAATTTGATAAGACCTTAAATTTGTGAAATTAAAAAAATTTGTAATTAATAAAAACATACCACCAATAACAAATTCCAAGATTTCAAGATATCCTGGAAAATCTAGTTTACTTCTCACAGGTAGCAGGCAATGTGGATATGTAGTACAGGCTGCTCTAGGGTCCAATGGCCTCATTTCAAGTCTTGGTTCTACCAGTTACCAAATGAGTTACTTAAATTTGGGCCATCAGCTATAAAATATCTCATAAAGTAGGAGAACTCAATGAGATAAAGTCTGTGAAGCTCTTAGCACAATGAGATGTTAAAATTTATTTTTATCATTATAATTAAGTGGACTCAATTGAATAGCTGCATGTGTTACACTTTGAAGAATTATGTATCATTAAAAAAGAAAATTTTAGTATCTCAGTAGCTTGTTGAATTTAACTTACTTTGCATATTCACTGTTTTAAAAGAACCTAGTGTGTTTAATTTGGTGATTTTGGTAGAACTGTGCAACTTTCTAAAAGTAGAATTGAAAACATAATTTCTTTTACTGTTTTGTTTCATTGATAGAAAATAGGAGATTAAGAAGAAGGTGAAAGGGACAAAAGAAGTATGGTGGATTTAAAAGCAAAATGAATTTTATAACATGAGTTAATTCTTTTCTTTTTAGATCTTTTAGAGAAATCTCGTGTCGTTAAGCAGCCAAGAGGTGAAAGAAACTTCCATGTGTTCTATCAGCTGCTCTCTGGTGCCTCTGAAGAGCTCCTTCGTAAGTCTCTGTGTCTATTGTTTTATAATTTTTAGTGTTACAGCTGATTATACTTATTCTTACAGTTTAGATACAGTTTAGATGTTTTCCAAAGCATCCTCCTTAAAATGCATTCCATATGCTTCTCTCCTTCCTTCTTGAAGTTTTTCCATGACTCTGGTGGAAGTGGAGAACATGGTGTGCCTGCTTGTGCTCTGCATTTGTCTCATATCCCATACCTCACCAGGGACTCAGTCTCAGATGGCTTATAAAAGCCTGATGTTGAGGAGAGGGGCTAACCACAACTATAAAAAGTAAAATAGAAGAATGTAAATTTTCACCTGGGGAGAACAGTAAATGAAAACAATTATATAAAAGCAAATTGCTCAGTGAGAATTTAAAAATTGTGGGCAGTTGATACAAGAGATTAACAACCTGACCCTCAGATATTTTAGAAAATGAATGTGAGTCCCACAACGACAGTATCCAGCAGGCAATAGCTAAGTGATAAAAATATTGAACAAGTAGTTGGAACAAGGAGAGCTATAAGAAGCCAACCACACCTGGAGAGAAAAATTCTCCTCACTAATAATCAATAAATGTACCTGGTAATAGCACTGAAGTGCTAAAGTTAGTAAAAAAAGATAAAACCAACAGAGTGTGTTACTGATGGACTTGGACCCATTATCACTGATTTATTTAGCCAAATAAGAGTCAAAATGATCAGGACTTATTCCCTAGTCACACCACTTTCTGGAATATATCCCACCAAAATAATTTAAATGAATCCAAAAAGCAATTTACATGAAGAATGTTTATCACTGCCCTATATTATTATTATTTAATTTCTTACATACATGACAATAGTGGAATGCATTACATTCATAATTATCCATTCACAGCACAATTTTTCGTAACTCTGATTATAAAATATGTTCTTGCCAAATTATACCACTATAAATGAGCTCTCTCTTTTTTTTTTTTTGCATTACAATTCTTAATACACCTTTAAACCACAATTTATCAAATCTCTGTTTGTATATAAGGTATGTTGACACCAAATTCACATCTTCATACATGAATTTTTTATAATGATGACCATCTCCTTCCCTTATCCTTGCTATTGCCCTTCTCCCTCCCTTTCCCTCCCACCCTATTTATTTATTTATTAACTAGAAACAACCCAAAATATGCAGTGGTGAATGAATTCCTAGATGGGCATCATATGTTATCATGGAGTAGTATGTTGAAGACATTTTATGTTATAAAGATATAGAAAGGGACTTACCCAGTAAGAATCTGTGTAAAAAGGCAGAGTTTGAATATGTGCAATAGTGATAAAGGAGGTTTTACAGAAATGCTGTTATTGGTATTGGGCATTAACTTTTGTTCTGTTGATTTAGTGCATAATATGAAAGTCATCTTCTCTGAAGGGTTAAAAATGAAATACTGATGCCAATTAGATTTGTTCAAGCAACTTACTGATTTGTATGTGTGACTCAATAGATAAACTTAAGCTTGAGCGAGATTTCAGCAGATACAACTACCTGAGTCTGGACTCTGCCAAAGTTAATGGAGTGGATGATGCAGCCAATTTCAGAACTGTTAGGGTAAGACGGAATGATTTTATTACATTTAAAAATGGCTAGTGCTTGATTGCTCCATCCGAACTGGTGACAATCCTGAGTTTTCTTTTAAGTGTGACTCATGCCCCTAAGGTTTTAGAATTATACAAGAATGTGTTACATTTTTATTAGTTTGGGTTTTCAATACTCAAGAATCATACCAGGTTATATAGGCCCACACTTCATCTTAGCAAGCTATTTTACCATTTATCAAAAGGAGCTTGCGTATGTTATCCTGGAGCTTGAGTCTTGTAATATTATAGTTAAATTCCAAATGTTTTTATAGGCAGAGTTTTATAGCCAAAGTTAATTTCCAAGTGTGAAAACTGCCCTTGGATACTATTAAATCAGAACTGGTTTTGAGACAGAAAATCTTCATTTTGCTCAGTTTTAGAAATGATTAGCATTCCACATTCATTAGAAAAGAAATGATTTTACATAGTACTCTTATTTTCTGTCTTTATTTGGCACATACTGTCAAAATTACTCCTATTATGATCTGATGTGGTAACCGAGATTTGCTTCCAAACAAGACAGCTGGGGTTGTAGGGAGGACAGGGTCACGTTGTAGATTAAACAGGATTGGCATCAACTAATCCTTGTGGATGAATGAAAAGGATATGGGGATTCTTTCTCTGTTCTCTACTTTTGTGTCTGTTTGAAATTTTCATAACATAAAAATGTATGTTACTCCCCGCTGCCATATAGCCTAGTTGTACTCATCATCATCATCATCATCATCATCATCATCATCATTATCATCATCATCATCATCATAATGATGTCAGCTGTTCTTAAAAAGGAAACAGATCTCAGAGTATACCACTTTTTAAAACTGTGCAAACATCCTTACATGGAAGTAGTAGTCATTTGTCTCCTGGACATGATTTTTGTTCAAGACTTCAGTCCAAGGCCAGTTCTGTAATCATTCTGCCTGGCACATAGTTGGCACTCCATATAAATTTAGGAATGAATGACTATTCCTTGTACCCATCCTGTCTTGGATGAGGCACCTACCTTTGCAAACCACAGTTTTTCTCACATGTAAAATAAATGAGAGGTTTTCTTTGTTGAAGATTGTAGGAGCTTCTTGTTTGGTTTTGTTATAGTAGCAGAACCCCATGTAAAATAGACAGATGTAGAAACCAAGTTGCAGCAGTTGAAGTGGGGACAGGGACCCAAGATTCTGGCAGCTTCTCAGCTTCTTCTGTCTTGCTGTCTGCATCCTCCCTTCTCCCACCTGCCACGGCATGAAAGGTACCCCTTGAGTCACAGAGTGCCACTGAGAAAGGTAACAGCCTTGTCTTAAGATTTGGGATTTTTCCCCAGAAATAAATCTGTAATAGGATTCATTATAAACAACAATAAAGAACTACAGAAATAAACTAGGTGCTTTTTTCCTCTTCCCAGAATGCCATGCAGATTGTGGGTTTTATGGATCATGAAGCCGAGTCTGTCTTGGAAGTGGTGGCAGCAGTGTTGAAACTAGGGAACATCGAGTTCAAGCCTGAATCACGAGTAAATGGTTTAGATGAGAGCAAAATCAAAGATAAAAATGGTAAGTCAAAGGAGAATCACCTTGTTTAGGAAACTTGTGTTGACTTGCTGCCCAGTTTTAAATCTAAAAACTAAAATTTTTGTTTTACATTGCTTTAAAAAAGCTTTCTAGTGAAACTCAACAGAAATATAATTGCAGTTAAGTTTTTGTGTGTATGTGTTGTGCTGGGGACTGAGCCCAGGGCCTTGTGCATGTGAGGCAAGCACTCTACCAACTGAGCCATATCCCCAGCCCTGTAGTTAAATTGTAAGCCTTTTAATTTATACAGGTTAGATTGTTGAGTTTGAGTGCAATTTAAAAGGAATAGCCTAAGCCTTGGTAATGATTATCAATATACATGTAGTCACCTTTTGTGTCTATCTTCCCCTGCTCCCTAACAGAGTTAAAAGAAATTTGCGAGTTGACTGGTATTGATCAGTCTGTTCTGGAACGAGCATTCAGTTTCCGAACAGTTGAAGCCAAGCAGGAGAAAGTTTCAACCACACTGAATGTGGCTCAGGTGGGTAAATCATAATGGACAGAAAGTGTTTTAAAAGTTGATGGTGTTTCTGTATGAAACTTTACTTTGCAGGCTAGTAATTGTCATACTATGTTCCAGGCATTCTAAGCACTAGGGATAGTGAAAATTAAATAGATAAGGATCCCTGCCTTCAGAGAGCTTAAAATTCTGGCAGGGGGAGGTGGGAGTGTTTTGAGCATAAGAGTGACAGCATCTGCCCTTTGTTTCACTGGGTCATTCTGGCTGATTGTGGAGGGGAGAGAGGGAAACAAGCAGCAGAATTCCTTAACCCAGAGATGATGGTGGCTTGGACCGTGTGGTTGCAGTAGCTGAGTAAGTGAGATGTGATCCTTTTGTGGGTCTGGTTTGAAGGTGGAGGCAGCAGGGCTTGCTCATGCCTTGATGAATAATAACAAGAATCAAGGGAGACTCAGTAGTTGCCATTCACTGATTTGGAGAAGATCATGTGAGATGCCAGTTCTGTGGTCAGATGGCCAAACTGAACTCCTGGCCTTTCTTACTGTACCACTTTGAGGTAGAGTAAGTGTTCCTAAGACACAAATCTGAGCTGCAACCTTCTTTCCTGTTGATTGAAGTTAAATGGACATCTGTTTGCATGGATGGATGTGTAGGCAGAACCAGGCAGCATCTGGAGCCCCTTACAATGTAAAACTCTTTGTGCTGTGGCTTAGAAATTTTCCTACCAGTCAGTACTGGTCTGGTCTAGAGTTAAATGAGTAATTCAGGACTTTTCCTACTCAGGCCTACTTTGTTTATTCAACTATGGGGTTTTTTTTTTTTGTTTTTTTTGGTTTTTTTTGTTTTTTTTTGTCTGATCCTCCTTGTAACTAGCTTTAAGCATTTGTAAGACAGTAGGGTAGAGTTCAGCCTCTCTCTTGTTCTAATTAGAGTTAGACTTTCTTGCTACCCCAAGAATGCCTGCCGCCCTTTGCTTTCCTTCAATACTGAGATCTTATTTTACATGAGTTACTTGGATTGTGGAAAATACTATCATTTTATGTACATGGAGATTAGGTTTGTAGCAGTCCTTCCCTGGTTGTACTGTTGTCTGTCTTTCTAAATTGCTGCAGCTGCTGTCATGTCTGTCTACTTCAGCCCTACTTTTCAAAGTCAGATGGGGGAGACTGACTGCATGGAGAAGATGTTGAGAGCCTGAACAGCACACCCACCCACTTGGGCCCTTGGTAGGGAAGTAAGGGATCAGGGAAGGCTTCATGGAGAGATTGAAGGATTTAGATGTATAAAGAATGGGTGAAAGGGCATTTCAAAAAGAAAGCATTGAGAAAAGCCAGCTTTGGAGCACATATCAGGAACAGGATCAGTCAAGCTGGGCTGGAGCTTTAGATTCAGGAAGAAGATTCAGAGCAGTGTGGCTGGGAAGGTTAAATTTGGGGTCAGAGTGGAACGTCTCCAGCAGAGGTTCTTAGATTTAGGCATGCATCAAAATCACCTGGGTGGCTGCTAAATACCCCTTGAGTGTTTGATTCTGTGGGCCTGGGTTAGGACCAAAGAATTTATTTTTTTTTTTTTTTTTTTTTTTTTTGGTAACAAGGATTGAACCCAGGGGTGCTTAACCACTGAGCGACATCCCCAACCTTTTTTTATTTTAATAATTTTTTAAAATTTTAAGACAGGATCTCACTAAGTTGCTAAGACTGGCTTTGAACTTGCGGTCCTCCTGCCTCAGCCTCCTGATCCACTTAGAAGGATCCACATTTCCTCTAAGTGCAGTTACCACCACTACTACTGCTGCTGGTTCAGGATCACATTTTGAGAGCCACTATGTGTGGATGTTTTAGTGGCCAGAGTTGAGGTCGATTAGTACACAGTGATGCCATGAGAAAGCCTGTGTTGTTTAAGGAGCCCCTTTGAGGATCTGTGTCTTTTGGATCTGTTTTTATTGTGTTTTGCTTTTTATTCATCCTCTGTGAAAACCTGACTCAGGCGCCTCTTTTCGATAAGCTTATCTGAGTTACCTTATTGTCACTGGTAGAACTTTTTCCACAAATTTTTAACCTGTGGATGAAAGAATTTGGCTTGAGATCCTCAGTTTTTCAGCACCTTCGTTGAGTGTGGGTTTTTTGATGTGGTGGTCTGAGTGTGTGCTTCTACCCATCTGACTGCCTGGCAGAGTTGGATTTCTACGAGAGTGATTGGTCTTATTAGCTTTTTCTCACAGTTTCATTGCTTGGACCTCAGGGTCATAGTTATTCCCCCGTGCCTCATTTTCCCCGGGGCATTCAGAGCTGTTCCCAGATAGGATGCCTAATATTAAAATAGAGGATACCCAAGACAGTTTTTCATTTAGTTTTTACAACATAGCTCTCTCCTTGGCCTCCCTGTGTACATAATCCAGACCCTACACGACCTTAATCATTGAGCAACATCCCCAACCTTTTTTTAATTTTAATAATTTTTTAAAATTAAATAAAGTCAGTTTATTGCTTTCTAGTTCTCTAGGTGCTGTACTTATTTACCTGCTTGTCCATCACCCCCATGTCACTGCTCATTCCTTCTGCCTGTCTGAATAGCCACCCACTTGCACCCACCCAAGAAGCCTTTCTTGATCACTTAGACCCCCAGATTCCCCTTCTCCGAACTCTTTTTCTCTACAATTGGGTCTTGGCCCTGTGATTGTTTTGTTTGTGTCCATTTGATCTCCCTCGCTCTACTGCAAGCTTCTGGAGAGTGGTTTCCGTGTCTGTGCATCTCTGGGTCTCCACCTTGCTCATTCCATGCAAGGCCACCATCTCCCATCGTCTCACAAGCAGATGCCACCTGTGGTTTTCCTCTGTGAGTTTCATGCAGCCACAGAAATGCTCAGTTTTTGTGCAGTGTGCTCAGAATCTGAGGGTGAATCAGTGTGCTTGCTATTTCCCCCTCATTTCTACATTCCTTGTAGATTCCTTGTAGATCCTTTCCCCTCGTTTCTACTTTCCTTAGAATAAACATCCCTGCCCTTTCTGCTTTATAGGATGTTATTGTGGGGATTAGGTGGCATGAATTGGACTCAGAAGTGAGGGATAGCAAATTGATAGCCCCTGGGGCCAGAGATAGCTCAGTAGGCATGTCTTATTTGACTAAAGGGTAGTTTTGCTTTTGTTTTGATTATTTTCTTTTTCAGTGTTGAGTTTGACCTAGAATGTGTCTCCTCACTGCTTCCTGTTCATTCTTATCACAAGTCCCTAAGAACATTTGAGTTGAGGTCCCTTCAATGGACATTTGTTTGAAAGAAGCAAAGAAGATCAATACTGGCTGTGAATACACCTTAAACACCATAAAGCAGTTTCCCAGAATAAGTTGTCACTGTTGTTCTGTTGCACATTGAAATGATGCTTTGTAGGAAGCAGATAGCATACCACTAAAAAAAGCTGGATGACATTAAGATGAAAAAGGGTTTATTTACAAATACGTAGTGTTTTGGGATTGTGTGGTGTTTTGAGATAACTTAAATTTACAAGAAGGGAAAGGATTAAGAAATGATAGAGGCTCATGAGACTGTAGTAGGAGAAATGGATACTTCAAAAATCATAGTGAAAATCCATTGTAGACTCTGTGCCAAGCTCTGTTGTAAACACTTGAATTACCTATTTAATACAGTGAAAACTAGGAGAAAGGGTATTGAAGAAAGGATGTATATCCAAGTTACATTTCTCTGTCTTAGCATTTTACATGCATCTTCTACTATTGAATCATACCTTTGCCCCCTCTTTTCCAACACCCCCTTGCTTTTCTTTTTGCTTTTTTTTTTTTTTTTGGCCAGTTTCCAGGTATATTTTCTATTCTTGATTAGAGCAGCTGAGAGATGGAGAGGGAGGTTTGGGGTTGACAACAAAGTGTCCAGTGAAAGGAAAGAGTGCAGTTCTTTTCATCTGTGATCCCAGGGAAGTGAGTATGTTATTAATGTTATTATGCTTCATTTAGCTAGAAGTGTGAAACAAGAATTCCCACACAATCTGACAAGCTATGCTCTCTGTAAAACTACAAATGTACCAGTTTCATTTAACAGCAAAACCCAACTCTCTACTTACAAGTAGCAGACTTCACTCATATGGCCGGTGTGTTAAAAACAGAGGCAGAATCTCCAGCTTTCCTCTCAGGGGGCCAGCCCCAACCACCCCAAGAGAACAAGTGTTACCCACCACTGGTACTGTCCACCCTGGGCACCTGCACTAACCCCTTCCAGCGTTTGGATTCTAAAACATACATGTTGGGCTGGGCTGTGGCTCAGTGGTAGAGCACTTGCCTAGCACGTGCAAGGCCCTGGGTTCCATCTCCAGTACTGCAAAAACAAAAATAAATTAAAAAAACCCAAAGACATTTTGTGTCTTTATTCCTTCTTTGCCAGATAGCCCTGAACATCTTTAAATAAGCCTGTAAGGTTTTTATCTTCACTGTACCAATTTATACAAATGGACTGTGGAGAATATTTAGAAAACACTCAAAAGACTAGGCACAAGAAAATTTACAGATTTCCATCAGTTTGAGCCATTTGAATGTGCTTTCATTTTCCTTTTTTATGTGTAGAATTTAAAAAAATTGTTGTATTACATATGCAAATTTTTAACTTTCGCACAATGAAACATTTCCATTTCATTACTCAATTTCATAACCATTTTTCTATGATGACTGTATAACATCATAATTTATTTTATTATGTCTTTATTGTTGGACTTCTAAATTGCCTCTGGTTTTTTTCTGTTCTCTAAATTGAGATGAATATCTTTATGGCAAAAACTTGCAATATTTAAACTTAGTTTCCTGGGATGCAAAAAGGGAAAGTGACTGTGATAAACAGTTTGCCTAATTCTCTTAACAGCTTGACTTCCCATCTAGAGTAAAATAAAAACTAGTTCTAAAAGAAATTTGAAATAAGAGGGCTTTAAATATTTTAAAAATATTTTCATTACTTTGTGGAAATTAAGCATTATGGTAATTGTGGGTATTAAACTCTTCTTCTTTTTTTTAAATAGGCTTATTATGCCCGAGATGCACTGGCTAAAAACCTCTACAGCAGATTGTTTTCATGGTTGGTAAATCGAATCAACGAAAGCATTAAGGTACTCAATCTTTATAAGCAAAGAAATCAGTTGTAATAAATGCTGTTCACAAGGTAAACATTAAGTTGGAGAAAGTTTAGTTTTATAATCAAGATAATTGATTGCTACTTAAAACAATTATTCCTTAAAAGGACTTTACCTGCATAAGATTAAAATTTGCTAGGGATTTTGTTTATTTTGTCTTGCCATGTGTGTTTTATCTCACTGGTAAGTAGGACAGTGTGGTCTTTGAAGAGTTACTCAAAGTCAGAATTCTAGGTCCCAGTCCTGGCTCATTTGCTAGCTAGCTGCATAGACTTGGCTTAAAAGGTCACTTTGCCTTTCTGGGAATTGATATGTTGTTGTTTTAAACAAGGGTATCGGACGAGGTGATTTTTAAAGACCATACCTTTTGTAAGATTTTTGTTCTTTCTGTTTCTCTTTCTCTCATTCTCTTTTTACTTGTTTCTCTTTCTCTTTTTCTTCTTTATGTTCTTTCTTTTCCTCCTTTCTTCTTTCACTTTTTCTTCCTTTCATTCTTTCTTTTCCTCCTTTCTTCTTCCCTTCCTTTATTAATACCTCTAATACCTTTTTGAAAATTGTCACCTATTATTAAAATTTTCATTCCTAAATCCTCTGTTTAAAAAAAACAACTAAATTTTCTAGTTAAGAAAAACAATTAGCATGTCATATATGTCATTTATAGTGTTATTATGCCTAAATTAACTCTTTAATTTGAAATTTTTTTTAAGGCACAAACAAAAGTGAGAAAGAAGGTCATGGGGGTTTTGGACATTTATGGCTTTGAAATTTTTGAGGTAAGGTTTTAAAAACTCCTAGTAATATTTTTATTAAAGTAGAACAGTTGCAAATTATATTTTATAGACAGCATTTATGATAAATAACTATAACTTTGCAAATGGAACAAAATTTGGTGGTATGTGTATAAGTGCTGGAGCTATCATTTGGAGACATTGCTGTTTAAACAGAATTTCTTATTAGTACTTGATTTTTGAAGTTGCAGATTTAAAATTCTTACTTTGAGACTTCTAATAAGTGGCATGACCATTACACCTGGGGCTATTCATTCATTTATAGGTTGTTTAGAAAGCGAGGCAGGTTGGTGTAATGAAAAAGCCAGGAATGGGAAAACTGGGTGTTGTCTTGGCCTGAGTAGGACTGGTTACTTCAGCTCAGACTCAGAGGAAAGTCTGGATCAGATGATTCCTAGAGTGTCATTCAAGTCTCATCTGGCTGAATGATCTGGTGGTCTTGCAATAAGGAATTCTATAGAAGTCAAAATAATTTCTGCACAAGTTCAGAATTAATTAAAAAAAGCTCCATGCTTGCTACAAATTAAATATTTAAACATTAAATGCTTAAATTTTCTTTTTGCTGACTTTGACATTGAGAAACACAATATGGACCTATTAAAACACTGTCACTTTTAGGAGTATTGTTTATTTTGAGTCAAGGAAATGACAGGTAGATCTGGCTCCTCCTCTCTCATTTCTCTCCGCTACAAGTAATTATTTCTGAATTCCTTTAAGCTAACCCAGGCCTTCCTAGCAAATTCTTTTTTCTGGTAACATTCATGTTGATAATAGTACCTTCTCCCTAAATCATGTTCCATGCTTAACAATTGGGCTTAAATACTTACTAAGGTCTGATTGTGCACCAGCGTTTTGGAAATGCTGTGCGTATTGTCCGATTGAATTTTCAGAACAAACTCATAAAGTAGCAGCTGCTACTATCCCCATTTTACAGATGAGAACATAAGACCCTGATGGTCAAGTGACTCCCCTACAGGAACGTGGCTACTAGGCAGCAGACACAGGAACTACACCCGAGACCTAATATTTTTATTTATTATTTTCTTTCCTACTAGGATTGAGATCAGGGCCATTTCTTCACCCTTATTCCCTAACTCACAGGTTCCTCGGTATCTGGAAATAAGGGGGAAAAAAAAAGTGTTGTGATAAGTCTGTGATTCCCCTGTTGCTCTACCCTCCCCATCACCCCCAGCTCCTGGCCAAGGTTGGGCGCTGTCCCAGATGAAGTGTATGTTGGCGGCTACCCCCTGTAGAGTTCCCAGAACACAGCTCTTCAGTACAATGTCTGCTTGTACTGGGGCCCCTTTATCAGAATCTGCAAAGAAAAGCTGCCAGTCCCTTGGTAAAAGGGAAGAATTTGAGGTTTATAAGTTAGAAGAATTGCTTGTGTATACTCAGAAATCCCTCTGCCCAAATTAATTTCTTGCTAGCAAGACCCCAGGTTACTGTCACTTAATTGGCAGGACGTCAAAGTCATTCCTCATAGCTGGCAGGGAAAAAGATTGCTTACCTGGTACAGAGCTGATCTAAATTTAAATGGTCTCATGAGCAGCACAGATGGTAGACATTAGAGATTTTACTAGAAAGTAGAAAAAACATATAGTCAATACTGTTTGTAAAATCAAAGATACTGATTTTAATTTTGTCAGGAAAATAAAAAGATTTATTGATCTTAAGCCAGTGAGCAGGTGCTTATTATGTCCTAACATAATACATGGAAACTTAAAAATACATAATAGGGTTATGATGGGATATCACTTTGTTTTGTCTTCAGTGTGTCCTAGCATCTCATGGGAAAAGACACCTAATAGCACTCAAAGGAAAATGAGTTAGACATCATGAACAACTGGAATCACTTCTCAAGGTTTTATTTAGTGCCTTCTTGGCCAGATACCAAATGATAAACAAGACAGAGATGTCCTGGCCTTCTTGGAGCTTCCTATCTTGGCCTTAAGACCAAAGGACTGTTGCTCCCTGAAGACAAGTCCTATTGGATAAGGAGATTTAATCAAGACACTAGGTTACTCTTTTGAAAGTGAGTTTGCTTTTGAACCTAATCAGAACAGAAATTGTGTGTTCCTGGGTAAAATATCCTTGAACTTGACACTGGGTGGAATACCTTTCAGCAATCCAGAAATATTTTTCACTTATGGTTAATTCAAGTCTCTCTCAGTGTCTTGATGAACTTGCCTTCCCTCTGCAAATGATGGTTCATCATCGCTTTTTTCAGTACCACCAGGGACTTCAGTTAATGAAAATGAGTGCAGTATATTTATAATTCTCTTCTCTCATTCCTTAGAAGGAATACTTTAGGAGTTCTCAAACTCAGCTGCATATTGGAATCACCTGGGGGACTTTTGAAAATTCAGATGTCCACACTGTACCCAGAGCAATGATATCAGAATCTCTAGGGGTGGGGCCATGGCAACAGTATTTTTAAAGCTCCTGGGTGATTGTAGTGTGCAGTCCAGGTTGAGATGAATTGCTTTGGTAGAGAGTAATCTCCAGAGAAAACTGTAAGTTCCAAACACCTGTGATGTACAAGTTGTGTAGCCTCTGTGCAAAGTGCCCTGATGAAAGACGTCAGGACTCACCCCTTGTCTGTCAATATCGAAATCAAATTTCTGCTTGTAATATACCTAAAACCACACAGGCTACATTTTTACTGTTCCTTTTTTTTTCTTTAATATATATGTATTTTTAGTTGTGAATGGACACAATACCTTTATTTTGTTTATTTGTTTTTATGTGGTGCTGAGCATCAAACCCAGTGCCTCACATGTGCAAAGCAAGTGCTCTGCCACTGAGCCACAACCCAAGCCCCATTTTTACTGTTTTTAAATTAAACTTTCAGCTGGTGGGAAAAACCTGTCAATTATGTCAGTAGCAAATCTTCTGGTTGCATAAGATCATTAACTATTAAGTTTTCTTTTTCATGCAGAAAATGATTTATTTTTTTTCCATTCCCCCGTCCCAGTTCCTTGAGAGAATTAAGATTTGATTTTTTTCAATAATTAATTATTCTCCCCATTTTTTTATGATTAATTATTCTCTCCATTTTTCTGTCTAAACCTTCTCAGATTAATCATCAATCTTGATTTTTTTAATAAACAACTTGTTAATGTTTTATTTTTATAAATAAAATTTATTGGGGGAAATTCATAACAGAATTTGAATGGGGGTACTTTTAGATACTTTTGTCTGCTTTTTGATACTGAATTGCAGTGTTGTTGTTTTTTTTAACAAATTATTCACAGACATGTCCCAGTTTGCAGCCTACACTTTTCCTGAATTCTCAGCAATATTAGAAGATGTGGGAATGTAAGGAAATGTATAATATTGAACTCTAGGAAGCCCAGCTAATTAAGGACTTAAATAAGTACCACAAGCTGAAGAATAAGGGTCAGAATACAGGAGAATTATTCAGAATATATGCCAGTGCACAAAAGAACAATTCTATATTTTTTACCTGGGTGAAAATAAACTGATAAAGTATAAATCAAAACCTGCCTTAGTTCTTCAGCAGAAAACAACAATAGAAATTAGGAGCTCTACCTTTTAGAATGCCCTGGGTTTCACTTTAAAATTTGGACAGTAAGAGTCCAGAACAGTTTTTAACGTGTCTGATTCTGCCTCAGTGACCTCACTGACAGTTCCCATGGAAACCTTTTTCAGCTGAGCTGGTGGAAACCTTTCACTCCCTTTGGTCCCTCTCTAAAGGGAAAGGGGAATCTGATGCATTAAACCATGGGATGATGACACATGGATTTGACTGCCCGGCATTTTGGTACCAGCTGGGTGAATAAGCTCTGCCTTGCTAGCTGCATGTGATCTGATGTCAGTTTAGAAAACAGATTATGGAACGTTGGTACTGAAAATAGGGTAACGTGAACTACCTTTCATAGAAGAAAAGAACCTAGCTGTCAATCCTGGTAGAACATTGATCCAGCTTTCCAAAGGTAGAAATTATAATCCAAACACCCCACACATTCTTAAAACTGAAAAGATGGTCTTTGATTTCTGAGAAATATTTATTGTATCTCCATAAAAGAATGAATATTATTCTTTAAAAAATGATATTATGTTCAAAAGTAAGTTGAGAATTCTGAATTGATTTGGCTCTTTTTCTGAGTAGTTAACCTAATAGGTATCAAATTGGCAAGTAGTTCACTAGGAAAGTCAAATTAATCATTAATGTTCCATGGACCAAAGCAGACAGCAATAACTGATTATTTCATTTTTCTTAGAGTTGAGCTGGTTTCATCCAGGCAGAGTGCTAGTTATTTTTAATTTTGTACTTCTTACCATGTTGCCCTAATGCACCTTGTGTATAATTAAAAGTACTTGTGTATAATAAGATTATAATAGGCTCAATATAATGATTGTTCAAATAAAACAACCTAAAACTTGGGAAGAGACAGTAGCTTAATACGTCTGTTGCATGATTATAGAACTTGTTTTCTAAGTTGTTTCAATTCTGGCTATAGTCAGTGCCTTCTGTTCTAGTTTTTTACCTTCATTTTTATCCTTCATGTGCCAGAAAGCTTATAGTTGAAGAAGGAGACAAAGTTTAAAGTAGATTTGAAAATGAAAGTGGAAACATTATGGAGAGGTGTGTGTGTTTTATTTTGTATACATATAGTTATTCTTGCTCTGACTTTTTCAATTAAAGCCTATTTAAAAATATTTAAGAAGTCATGATAGTATTGTTTTTCTTGCTAATTTACCGTATTGGAGTATAGAAGAAAAATGTCACATATTTAAAGGTAAGTTTTTTAAAACTTCAGCCACTCATTCAAATTTATGAATAACTAAAAGACAATATTTAAAGTTAAATGTTTTTCTTTTAAATTTTGAGGATATATTTTAAGTTTACTTTCTTAAAAAGCAGTTTTTGCCTTGGTACCTGTTTCTTAAAAATGGATTATAGTTGAGCTGAGGCCATAGCTCAGTGGCAGAGTGCTTTTCTAGCATGTGTGAGGCACTGGGTTTGATCCTTAGCACCATACACAAATAAAATAAAGGCATTCTGTCCATCTACAACTACCAAAAAAAAGTGGGGGGGGGGATCGTAGTTAAGTGCTTGTTGTTTAAAATCAGTGATATAATTGGGGACTGCCAAAGACTTTACATCAAGTGAATTTTTGCTAGGACCAATAGCACATTTAATAGCATTATTATAACCCAGTTTCTCTAAATTTGACATTGCACTCAAAATTCTATAATTTCATATATTAATGAACTGTTTGATTTACTATGCAGGACATTTCATGATAGTTAACTGTAGAACTGCATCTGACATGTTATATCCAAGATTTGACCTAAAATGGAAATGCTGAATTATAAGAAACATCAGTTAAATTTTTAATTCACAGTAGTTTTTGCTTAAATAAGTCACAGTCTTTTGAGTTTGAACTGCTGACTGTTTCCAACACATGATATTCACCTGCCAAATTCTTCTTCTGTGACCATTTCAAACACAAATGGGACAAAGCTGCCTCCTATATTCATCTCTTCCTTTTAATATTTATTGTTACAAGCTTTTAAAAAATATCTACCTTAAAGAATATAAGATACCCCGAGCCTGTTCTGTTGCCAAGAAGAATGTGCAAATAGGCCAGTATTTTTGATAATTTTTTTGAAATCATTTCACGTGGAAGTTCATGATTGATACTTAGGAGTATAAACTAGTCATGAGCTCAGCTGGGAGTATGATTTTCTGTTTCTTTGATGTTGAAAGGATGGACTTGTAGTCTAGAATTTTTGAAACAGAAACCCTAGAGTTTTAAATCTTGGTATATTATATACTTCTAAATATAGAAAATGCTCTCTCTCCCTGTCTGCAGGGTAAATACAGCATGAAAAAGCATAGAACCCCACAGCTTGAGGTTCCCTGTATTCTTTGAAGCTCTCTGTCAAGGGTGGGCTTTATTCTGAGTTTCACTCAAAGGATCATAAAATAAAATTCCTACTATGTACTTGTTTGCACATGCTTCTAAAAGTTTTAGTCTTATCTCTCAGTCTTTGTGGATAAATGTGGGTAAGGTAGTAGAGAAAAATTCCATGCGTGGAGCATGGGTAGAAAACGGGAGACTAGAGATGAGTCATTAGCGAGGGTCAGCTCCTGCCTACTTCCTCCTTTGGAGACTTTGATTCATGAGACTGGCAATGGGAGAGGTGCTGGCTACTCATACAGTTCTTGACAAACCAAAAAAAGCATTCAAATGTAAAGCTGCTTCAGGGCCTTCATATTCATGTGATGATTTCTAGACTCAGTGTAGTCATTTTATAAAGGGGGAGGGGTAACTCATGTTGAAAATATCATGTTAATTTATAAATGTATAATTTATAATTTATACACCTGTATAAATGGAAAGATGTGTTGGGCTTGTACAAATTGGAGTTTTTTTGAGTGGATACCAGGCTGATTTTTTTTTTTTTTTTTTTTGCAGATTATTGCTTGTTTTTTAAGTTTTTGCAAGCTATTTTTCATTTATTTACATTTTGAGGGCTACTGGGGATTGAACTCTATCACTGAGCCACATTCCCAGCCCTATTTTTATATTTGATTTAGAGACAGGGTCTTAATGAGCTGCTTAGTGCCTCGCTATTGCTGAGGCTGGCTTTGAATTTTCAATTCTCCTGACTCAGTCTCCTGAGCCACTGGGATTATAGGCATGCACCATCCCGCTTCGCTTCAAGTTAATTTTAAATTGTGTGAAAGTCCCATTTCCCCCCAAATTTGGACAGTGCCAACAGTTGAAACTTATCACAAGAAATGGGTCTTTAGCCTTCAGTTTTGGCAGCAATTATTGCCCTGACCATTTGGGAGTCTGGAACTGTGTTCATAGTAGATGCTGATTTCCTCGAGGAAGTATGTTAACCTCTACATTGGTGGTCATGGTAGCCTCTTTGTTTGGGGAATTTTTTGCTGTTTGAGTTTTAGCAACAGAATAAGGTAGGAAAGTCAGGTGTTTGTTCTTGGGTCATCTCCAGGAGAATACTTTCTCCTTACCATCTTATTTGCTTTTGAAAGGAAGGCCTAGCAAGTTATTTACAGGAATGGGTCTCAGGGATACTGGAAGTGAGGGTACTTCTGCCTCTTGCTGAATCTCTTCAGTAATCAGTGATTTGACAGCTGTTTCTACCTCTGACTCTTTCTTTAGAGAGATGTGGGACTTGGTTACAAATGATGCATGTTTCTTTTCCCTTATCATTTAGAATTAGAAGCATTCTATTCTGATGCTTTAGGGCTTCAGGCAGTTTATATGATTTATCAGTATTTTAGTCAAACTTTTTATCCTGAATAGCTCTCCCCTGGATAAACATCCCTGAGACACCATATGTAGATATGGTTGCCCTGTCTTTTGGATTGTTTGGACATGAGTCTTGATCTAAAAAGTTCTACACCCATCAAAAATAATAGTCTGAGTGATAAAAGCACTCCTTTGCAGCAATGAATAACTCTCAGTAAGTGCTTACTTTTAGAAGTCCATTGCTAATTAAGAACTGACTGCATTTTGTGTGATCTGTCCCTCTGCACCAGAATGCAGTAAGTATGAACCGTGTGCTGTGCCAGTCTGTCGCATGCTCCCGTGTTAATAGCCTCTTAGCTGTGTGAGTTTTGCAGTAAATGGTTGTTGATTAACTGTGTGGTTATAAAATACAGAATTTGTGAAGGAGTTTTTAAAGATTCATAGCAAATTTAATTTAGCTCTAACTTGATTCTTAATTTGTGTTGTTAACTGTGAAGCTTTGCCTCTGATCCCTAATCTTCCTGTGTGTTCTTCATGATCCTGTTTTAGAAGTGTATTGCAAACTGTTCATAGCCACATAATGCATCTAAGGACACCAGTCGCTTTCTCCTTCCTTCTCCTCATTATTTGCCATTTGAAAATTTAGCATAATTGTGCTGAAATAGCTCTTTAAGCACAGACCTGCAAGTAACAAAAAGGATTTGCTCCATGCATTTATTTTTTAAAACAAACCAAAGATCTGCTTGTATTAGCCATTAAAATTGTGTTTTTCATTTGTGATAGTAGCATAATATCAAGACATATTTTACCAAACCAAGAATGCTTAATTTTCTAATATAAAATGGCATTATGCTGGTTAAGATAATAAAAAGACATTCGGACTAGACTGACTTCAGTCTCAAATCATTAGCTCTGAGGTTTTAAAAACTTTGCGTGAAAATGAGTATTGAAAAGCAGATGTTTGTCCTTTAGCAAGAACCTTCAGGATTTTGAAAAAAAACAAACAAACAAATTTAGCATTAAGAAGATTAGTCAATGATAGTGCTTTTACATGTGTCATTTATGGTTTAGAGTCAAGCATTTCCTCAGATCCGGTCATCACTAGTGACTAGAAGTCCTTAGCTGACTTCCAGGAAAGAATGTGGTCACATGCTGCATCATAAAATTATCATCTTAAAATTTGTAAGAGGTACAAACAAAGTTGAATTTAAAAGATGGGCTTTCAAATTACTCCATAACTCACTGCTTTAGTCATTCATGGAGGGGTGTGAAGGCCCTTGCTCTGCAGAGTCACAATGAGCAGTGAGCTTTGCTACCACCATTACACGTGGACCTCTTTGTTCTTTACACCAGGACTGGCTACCTCGGTGGCTAGGTTTGCATGGGGTGGAGTCTTCCTGTCCCTTGTGAGAAAGGGCAGGAATGAGAAGCTCTGTAGTCAGATCCTGGAAGGTGTGGGTCTAGGTGAAGTGTACTGCTTCAACAGAAGGTGTGTTTTGTGCCTTCAATACGTGCAGCCATATATTAAGCCCTGACAATTGTTCCAAATGGTTTAGGGGTTTCTATTGGAGAATCCACAGTAGAGAACCCTAGCCTGAAGGAGAAAATGCTGAGACTGAAAAGTAATGAAGTGTCGACCTTCTAAGAAGAGAGAGGTTGTTTCTTGCTAGGGAGACCATTTCAGTGTCTTAATTCCCTTGGGTCTCTATTTGGTAGGCGCTTCATTCATTCTCTCACTCATCTAGTCCATGATGAATACTGGGAGGCACAGGAAAGGCCTGGGAACATAGTGGACAAGAGAGCATGGTCAGCCCATGCCCTCAAGGAGTGTGCAGTTCATGGGGACATGACTGTGAAACAGGTCAATACACATGTCCACATGTATACACACATATTCATGCAACATGGTGCCTAAGGAATATCTGAACCTGGACTGGGGGCCAGGGTGGGACTGACAGGTCAACTCAGGAGGATTCTGTTGCTCTCTGAAGGCTCACCTGAGAATGGAAGATTGAAAAGTTGGTAACAGATAGTGGTGCTCACTATCTTTACTGATTGTCAGAGGGATTTTTTTTTTTTTTTTAACCATGAGTGCTTCTCTGTCAACTAAAAAGCTTCGTCCTTCCAATGCTGCATCATTTGTGTATATTCATTCATTCACTTACTCGTGAGCCATTGCCCACGTGCCTGCAAAGGAGCTTTGTGCTGGACCATGGTTAAGTCTGAAAGACAATGTGTGGCATTTCTCATGGATTGAGACGTCTGCGTGTCATTGTTACGGGGAGCCAGTGAGCGTGGTTTAAAAGTCTTCTTCATTTTCTCCACACAGGACAACAGTTTTGAGCAATTCATTATTAATTATTGTAATGAAAAGCTACAGCAAATCTTCATTGAGCTTACTCTTAAAGAAGAGCAGGAGGAATACATACGGGAGGTAATGTAGAAATGCTTCTTTAAAATATTGTACCTGTCTTACTCATAATTAAATTTTGGATTCAGAAAACTGTTTAAACTTGACCACAGAATCATGTTTATCTAAGTTTAATCATATTGTGTCTTCTAAAAATCTGTTTGGCATGACATCCAGGCTAATTTTTTTAGGTGCTGTGCAGCTGGTATCCAGCACAATGCTGGCACAGAGTAGATGATCAATAAGTATCAGCTGATGGACTCTAGTCTCATTGGATTCCAGTGTAATGATGTGAAATAATAGTATATTAAGAAAATAGTCACAGATGAATGAACAAACTGTTGTGGTACCTCCATACAGTGTACTGTTACTGTGCCATAAAATAACACTATAGAAAATGAAGAAAAATAGGTGATTTTAGTAATGATATTACTAAGCCATTGGCCTGTAGAAGGCCACAGAGTTGGTTGCTGTGAGGGGATCAAAATTGTGAGAGGTTGTGACTGCAAAGGGACTGTGTGAGGGAATTTGAGGGACTTATTGTGGTGGTTACATGACAATATGCATTTGCCAAAACTTTGAGAACTGTATACCAGAAAAAGTCAGTATCACTCTTAAGTAGTTTTGAAAATAGTTTGAGACTTTGTTTAATCTTGAATAGCATTGATTTTCAAAATTTATAATAAAAATAAGTAACATTTGTCAAGTGGTTACTATATACCAGGTAATGGATTAAGTGCTACATGTGGGTTGTCTCATTTAATGTAATTTAACAATAACCAGAGGTAACGTTTGCAAAGCCCCTTTGTCTTTTTGTTGTTGGTATGGTGTTATAGATCAGCAAAGTCTTTTCATCTTTAATGCTATAACACACATTTGGTTTTCATCCTTTAATATTATAAATAGCCTTTTTTTCCCCAAATATGCACTTATTTCTTTCAAAACATGAAAGAATTATTTTATTGTATTTATGTTTTTACTTATTTTATTTCCTTTTATTTGCTTTATTAGCATTTTAGCTATACCATTACTAAAGTCACCTGTTTTTCTTCATTTTCTATAATGCTATTTTAAGCCATCAAGGACACTGAATCCTTATTTTTCAATCTCGTTATAGATTTTTCTAATGTAATTATTAATCCTGTGACTTAGTAAAACTATCTATTTACTCTTACAACAAATCAGCAATATTTCATCTTTGAGAGTGATCATTATACTTTAGAAATGTTTCAGACTTGTCTGGCACCGTTGGGTAATGTAAATATCTTAAAAGCAAGAATTGTGCTCTTTCTGTCTTCTCATCGTAAATTGAATACCCAGACTTTGATGTGTATCTTAAAAATAGTTTGTACAGATTGTCTAAAACGCTTCTTAGAGTGCATAGGAAGACCCCTGCTGGCTTTATTAATTACATTTCTATCCTTTAGAAGAAAAATAAATGTTTACACTTAAGGATGAAGTGTAAGCAGACACGGATTGCACTTGGCCTTGCTGATTTGGCTTTGTAGCTTGTGGTAGAGCCAGTGCTTAGGTTTTTGTGTCTTTCCATATGTTGAAAATACTTTGTCTTAGCACTGGGATTTTTTGTACACTAGAAATGGTTAACTGCCCTACAGCTTAAATTGACTCTAAAATTAATTTTTTCTTTGTGATGACAAATAAAGATCAGAAAAGTCTAGGCCTTGGATTCCTGGGATCAAGTTCTGTCTTATTTCCTTATAAACATTGTAAATATACACAAAGTAATATTGACCCAGCAGCCTGTCGAGTAAATATGGCCCAGAGCCAGTGAAGTGCATGGGAAATGGCCACAGATGGGAGAGTGGAATGGGAGGCGGGCTCGGAACAGGTCAAGGGTGTCTGCTGCAATCAGATGATGTCGGTGGTGGACTGCTGCGTTAAGTAAGTTTTAAAAGGAAACCAGAAGATGACATTTGCAGCATCAATTCTATAAAGAAAATGAATTGAAAGAGAAAGAGAAATTTGGTTAGATGGATGAAGTTTTCTTTTGGATGGTGGTTTTGTGGCATCATCATTCAGATTTGATTTTGTTCTATTTTGTCTTTTAGGACATAGAATGGACTCACATTGACTACTTCAATAATGCTATCATTTGTGACCTAATAGAAAATGTGAGTACTTTTCTCAAGAAATTTATGGTAATATAATTCATGACATAAAAATGACCTTGCTGCCTTTGATGTTAAGCATCCATGTTTTCACTACTTTACGCTTTTCTTGAAGGAGCTCCTGTGTTCTGGAGGCTTTACTGTAGTCCTCAGAGATCACTCACAGTTCATAAACACATAAATGGGCAGCTGGACTTTTGGTACTTAGCCAGAATCCCCCATGCTGATCCTGTCGCTGTATCAAAATCCTTTCATGAACTTCAGAGGTCAGACCTTTACGTGCACCATCCTTTCTTGTGTGGTTGGAAACCAAATCTAACCCATGGTTCCTGGGAACGTGAATAGTGATCAGAGAAGGTTCAAAGCAATCTATTTCATTTCTAAAACTCTAATGACGTCTTTTTTTTTGGGGGGGGGAGGGGGGCAGGTAGCAGGGATTGAACTCAGGGGGCACTCAACCACTGAGCCCCATTCCCGGCCCTATTTTGTATTTTATTTAGAAACAGGGTCTCACTGAGTTGCTTAGCACCTTGCTTTTGCTGAGGCTGGCTTTGAACTCCTGATCCTACTGCCTGAGCTGCTGGGATTACAGGGCATGCACCACCATGCCTGGCTCTAGTGACCTTATTGTACTGTTCCAGCTAAGATAAAGGAGGCAAAGGACAGCCTCTGGAGCTGAATTAAGTGGGAACCTAGAAGTGGCTCAGGTTCAGGGAATGTAAGCAAGAGAGTAATATGTGACTGCAGGTGTCTGAGGACCCCGGGATTTTTCATGTGCAAATGTGAAAAAGCTCCAAATGTGAAAAACTATTAGATGATTTTTTAGAAAACTTTTTGAATCTAAGGTATTTATATTTGTTTTTAACTCATATTCTATGGTTTATTGTTAATGGATTAATTTTAGGAAGACCTATTTGTATGTGAAAACAGGAAACTCTTTTGTTTTATGCTTAGGATTACTAATACTCTGGATCTTAAAAAAGTGATTTGAAACAATGTGTGCACTTGTCCTGTAGTCTTTGTAGCTGTCAGGGCAGGTGAATGCTGTGTTTCAGGAATGCCATCACAGGCTCTGAAAGTACAGCAAACCATTTCTAGTCAGTGAGTCCTTTTGGAAATTACTTAAATTAGTCAGTGATTTTTCCAGTGGTATTCAAAATATTCTTGAAAGCTGCATCTTAGATTAAGTTAATTAAAATAATGACTACTTCTCAATGAAATATACATGTTATTTTTTAAAATCTGACCAGAAGCTAGGGTTGTGGCTCAGTGGCAGAGTGCTTGCCTCTCACATGTGAGGCACTGGGTTCGATCCTCAACACGACATGAAAATAAATACAACAAATAAAGATACTGTGTCCATATATAACTAAAAAATTTTTTTAAAAATCTGACCAGTGTTAGAATGAGAACACCAGTAGTCCACATAATGTATTTAAAACTGTAGTCCAAAATCTAGAAAATCAGTCAATTTCCTGAAATTTTTTCCTCGTAAATTTTGTGACCAATGTAACTTGCTGTGAGAACTTGATAACTTTCAAAATTCCTGAGTAACTCTTTTTTCCCCATACACAGTGCACTGATTAGTTCCCTTTAGGAAGTGGGAAAGAAAGGTAATATGCTTAACTTAGATCATCTCAGCACCAAATCCCCTTGCATATATGATTGAAGAAACTCATGTTCATTTAAGAGTCTGGGTACGTAAGGGAAGCACTTCCTTCCAGAGCCATTAAACAATAATGTTTATTCTGGGGATGTTATGAACACACTTGATTCCTAAGAGTCCACACTTCCCCTGGGTTTTGTCGGGAATGAATACATGCTGGTCACAGGATGTCATGGCCTTGTGAGGAAAAAAGAAGAGGAATGGGAGCCTTTGCCTTGGTGGAAGTGGGTGGGGTTGATGGTCAGTGGAAAGGATTGTTTTTGGAATTAAGACTTATGGGCCCTGTAGAGGCAATGCAAGGAACAACTTCTTCTATTTAGCAAAATAGAAGATTTGCTAATTCCTGATTCAGCTTAGCACTGACTTTTCTTGAAGTAAATATGATCATAGGGTCTGAATACACAGCAAGTAAGTTGTCACACATACTTAATATCCATTTAGATATTTTATATGGAATAAGAATTTTATTCTAAAAGACAGTCTTGAAAACAGCTTGATTCCAGTGATGATTAAAAGCAGAATTCCAGATCATAGCATTTTATTTTGAATACATGAACAGTTTGGAAACATGAAATCAATTTAAAGTTCTTAAGGTGTGAATCTGATAATGGCCTTACGAGGCTGCTTTGTGATTTGTGACATGTTATGGAGACTGCATCATCACATTTGTTTTTGACTTTCTGACTTGTTTTTGAATCTTGGAGGTCTAATGAATTTCAGTTCTACCAAATGTGGCAGAGTTGACTCCCAGGATCTGTTCTGTTGGGGGAGGGAGACACTAATACAGACACTTGCACCCACACACACCTGGGACACTGGGAAAGAGCTGACTTCCCTGGTTTTTGTTAGTTGTTTTGATTCTCTGCTTTTTTGTTATAACTAAACAGAATTTTCTTGTGACTAAGTTGATTGTGTTTGAAAGTAATCAGGACTAATTATTAAAACAATACCATGAGGAAGGAAGGAAACATTTTTATTTCCTTTCTCCCAGAACACAAATGGAATCCTGGCCATGCTGGATGAAGAGTGCCTGAGGCCCGGCACGGTCACTGATGAGACCTTCTTAGAAAAGCTGAACCAAGTGTGTGCTACCCATCAGCACTTTGAGAGCAGGATGAGCAAGTGCTCCCGGTTCCTCAATGACACATCTCTACCGCACAGCTGCTTCAGAATCCAGCATTATGCTGGCAAGGTATGGGGGCTGGGAGGACCCACCAGGCCTGCAGTGCATTCCCACAGGGAGTGCACAACAGAGACAGGTATTCCGGACACTGTTCACTTCTGAGGATAAATCCACCCCCAATCCGATGATCAGTGTTCAGTAGAAATTGGATCTGGTCCATGCAGAATAAAATCCTGTTAATACAGAGAACTGAAAGCAAATTCAGTGGACTTAATGAACAGTCCAAACATATTTTTAAAATCGACTTCATTATTTTCAAATGCTAAGCTCTCCTAAAAACAAAACAAAAAAACCTAACAGTACTAATAAAGGAAAGTAATCAATAAAAATTGGAAATCACTGAAGAGTTAGAGTAGGTTTTGAAAGCACAAACCATTTAGCAAAAATAATGAATTCTTAGATTGATTTTGAAATAATACCAGAAAAGATATCTGCCTTTTTTTAAAAGGCTCTTATTTATTTGGTTAATGTTGTGGAAATTAATTTTATGTCATCAAATCTATAAAGATAATATTAAAAACAATTCTGATAGTAGGTTAATTTAAAATCCTAAAAATTAGATTATTGATTATAGAATATAAAAAGTTGGGGCTGGGACTCAGTGGTAGAGCGCTTGCCTTGCACAGTGAGGCACTGGGTTCGATCCTCGACACCATAAATAAATAAATAAATAAATGTATAAAAAAGGTTAATTGGCGCTAATACCTTCTTTATTATAATTAAGATCACATACTTTCAAAGAAAAACCTTAATTATGTGTTTAGTCAAAAATAGATAAATGTGGTATCTGAAATATTTCATTTCAACTTTGGTACTTTATTTTTTTCCATTAATCTATGTTATTAAAAGGTATGTTCCTGATTAGTTTTTCTGCTGCTCAAGTATATCTCTGAAAATGATACCATTATTTCTGTTTTCCTTTCTTTTAAAGAGACTAGAATTGGCACATATAAACCAAAAAATAAAAATCAAACCTCAGATTTATGTTAAAACGGCTCAAAAAAAATCTAAACTCCTTTGAAAACGTTATGATAACACTTGCAGAGTTAATTCTTTTAAATCTTGAAAGGTAATAGAATTCATTTTGATCTCTTCTGGTACGAAACAGAATTTAAACTTGGAGGCAAGTTTGGCATCAGTGTGCCTGATGAACGGGGCTTTTGGAGGGGAAGGAAGTAGCTGCCATGTCGATTAGCCGCTTGGTGTTACTGTGTGCATCGAGCCCACTGTTGAGTCCCATGTGCTGCTCGTAGGTGCTGTACCAGGTGGAGGGATTTGTTGACAAAAACAATGACCTTCTCTACCGAGACCTGTCCCAAGCCATGTGGAAGGCCGGCCATGCCCTCATCAAGTCTTTGTTCCCTGAAGGGAACCCTGCCAAGATCAACCTGAAAAGGCCGCCAACAGCAGGGTCACAGTTCAAGGCATCCGTGGCCACGCTAATGAAAAACCTACAGACCAAGAACCCAAACTATATCAGGTATTTCTGGCACAACCAAATGCTTTGACAATACAAATGTGAGAACACTCAAGGAATATCTTTTTCCTGTTTGCTTCATTCTGAGAGTAGCCCAAGCCCAGGACAACTAACACAGTTCAGATCTAATATCATGATGTCTGGGGTGGACTTGCATAATGCTCCACTACCTTTCTTTCCCCAAATATAAGGAAGGGGGGAAAAATTATGTGGGGATGATAGATATTTCATGATACTAGGTGGTTGGCACATAGGGGTTCTCAACTTTCTATATGTTTAGTCTTTTTTAAATGACCAATTAAGGAACAAATATAAAATGGTTTTCCTGATCAGAGTTTGCAGAAAGCTCTTTTTGTTGCTGTTATTTTGGATTCCTTTGATAATGACTATAGCCATGTTACTATTGAGGGCAAGAGGCAGGAGGAGCTGGGGTGCAACTCTGGTTTGTGTTAGGAAGTCGCACGCTTTGTTTCCAAGCAGAGTTGTGGACCAGGAGAGCCAGTGACTCCTAAAATAGCCTGAAGTTTTTCAAGTCAATATAAAAGAATCCTTTAAACCTCCGATTTCTTTTTTCCCTGTCTCTGGGACATCTTAGGTACTCACCTCAAGATTCAGGAAAGACCAACTAGGATGAGAGTTTACCATGTGTGTGAACTAGAAGATAGGAAGGATGCTCTGTGGTGGGCCAGACCTGAGCCTACCCACACCCAGTTTGAAAATTCACTTATGAGGAAATTAGAGTAATAAAGAGTTTTGTGTTTGACTTTTTTTACCTGATATTTATATCAGAAGAAACATACATAGGCAAAAATCACTCTGGTTTGATTGTCATCAACTTAGAGCATAAATTGGGAGAAAAATCTAGTTTCCAAAAAACAACCAGGAAATTTTTTGTGATCAGTTGCTTTTGTTACTGTCCATTGAGTAGATTTTTTTAAAAAACTCTGATTTATCGAGGTGTGCTGGCAGCTGGAAGTTTGCTGGGGGGCCCCAGCAAACTTCCAGCTGCCAGCAGAGGTGTTGTTGACATTGATTGATATGTACAGATCCTAGGTGAACAGTTCAATTAGTTTTTTAACCATTCTACATATAAGTTGGTAACCACCACCCAGGTCAAGGCATAAACATTTCCACCGTTCCAGAAAGTTTTTTTATTTCTCTTCCGTTAGTGATTTTTCTAATATTAAGATTTAAGAAATCTTAATAAATCCTGAGGTTTCGAAGATAACATGTTTTCTTCTAGAATCTTCATAGTTTCAGATTTCATATTTAGGTTTACTGCTTTTTTGCCATATAAATAGCCTGTTGTTTTGACACCATACATTCATAGGGAGAAAAATCCCTCTTTTCATCCAGTTGTCTTGGTGACTTTGTTGATAATTAGTTGAATGTATGGGTAGGGGTATAGGTCTGAACTTACTAAGCTGATCCATTGATCTGTTTGTCCTTATTTAAGCCAAAGAGTGGGCATTATGTTTATAGATGGTGAAAGCATAAAACACCAAGACAAAACTAGTTAGACAACCATAATTGTGAATTTTTAACCATTGTATTAGGACAGAGGGATTGCTGCAATATGATCCAAAACTAATAATGGCTTAAACAATACTGGCATTTATTTTGTGTGTGTGTGTGTGTGTGTAACTATTAAGTGCAAGAACACCACGGCTAAAAGGATAGCTCCTTCTCTTTTGTGGCTCTGCCATTTCCAGGTATATTCTTCATTCCCATAACCAAAGATGGCTGTGCATAATATCAATTTTCACATCCAGTGGTAAGCTGAAGTCCAGCTTAACTGGAAGAAGGGGACATCAGGTCCCTTCCTTTTAAGGACACAGATATTACAATGGCAAACATTACTTCTGCTCTGATCTTAGTGGTCAGAGTTTGTTTACGTGGCCACAACTACTTGCAAAGGAGGCTAGGAATGTAGTCTTTACCTAAGCAACAAAATACCCTGTAGAAAAGGAGCAGAGAGCCAGGCATGGTGGTGCTTGCCTTCAATTCCAGCTGCTCAGAAGGTCGAGGCTTGAAAGTGCAAGGCCAGCTGGGCCATTTAGCCTGTCTCCAAACAAAATAAAAAAGGCTGGGGGATGTAACTCAGTGGTAGAGTGTTTTCCTAGCATGTGCCAAGATCTGGGTTCAATCACTAGTACCACCACCACCATCATGAATATACATATATATGGAGGTAGTGCCGTGCTTTGTCTTTTCATTGAGGTATAATATATATTTGTTAGTCTTAATTCCGCCTGTTGTTGAATTTTTACATATATATGCATGTGTGTTACCCAGTCCAGACTAAAATGTTTTCCCAGACTAAATGTCATCCCAGAAGGCTCCCTGTCCTCCTTCAACCTTGATCTCCACCACTACCTCTTTCCAAATATAACAGTCCTGACTTGCTTTAGTTTTGCTTAAACTTGATACAGTGGGATCCTACTCTTGGTTGACTTCTTTCACTCAACAAAATGTAATTGGTGTTCTTCCATGACATTATATATACTAGTGGTTTGTTCTTTTGTTAAAAATTGCTACGTATGTAATATTTTATTTACTTTTAGTTTATTATATAATGATTTGAAACAATTACTAAAGAAATGACCAGGTTTCCCACAAATAACAAAGAGTTGTTTTGCTAGGAAATGATTAGACACAGTATTTTATAAAACATGGTAGAGTTGTAACCATAGAGGGAGAGTTTAAAACCTAAAATATTTGTAATCTTTTAGGTGTATCAAGCCGAATGATAAAAAAGCAGCACACATCTTCAATGAGAGTCTAGTGTGTCATCAGATCAGATACCTGGGTCTTTTGGAGAATGTCCGAGTAAGACGGGCAGGCTATGCCTTCAGGCAGGCCTATGAACCTTGCCTGGAAAGATACAAAATGCTTTGTAAACAAACATGGCCTCATTGGAAAGGACCAGCAAGGTAAGAAGTTCATTGACCATATGGAATAATGAATCTTTAAAGAATACTAATAACATTGTTTTTGTTTTTGCATATGCTATTAAGCAAAACAGAATTGTATAAAAAATTGGTTTGTAGACTTTCATTAGAATACCATTTTGGCTAATTCTCATAGAGTCTCAGTTTTCTTTAAGGTCAAAACAGGACCTTCCAAATCCACATTCGGAACTCACATTTTGATAAATTTTTAAAATATGCCTGTGGTTGATTTGTAAGAGGCAATTTATACTTGGCATGTATGCTTGTATAAAATCATTAAAGGGTAGAGTTAGAGGCATTGAGGATCAGCACTCTCATCTTTTTGCTTTTCACATGTGGAATTTAACTCTAGAGAGAGTTGGTAGGTGGGGTATAGTTTCCACTCTTTGCCCGTTTCTGCCCCAGTTGAGAAGTAGATGCCAGGAGCAGATAGAATTCAGCTTCCGTGTTATTGCTAGTCCAGCTGGATTAGAGAGCATGGCTTGGTCCTTGGACTGTATGGCTTTCAGCTGGACTGTTATGAATTTTGCTTGCATTCCAGTCCCAGACAGGGTTCTGGATACTGCAAGTCCAGCTCTCTGAGCATCTCCATCACCCAACAGCTTCCCACATGCAGAGAGAACTTGTGCACTGGTGGGCAGCTGCTGCAGGAGAAAAATCAGGCCTCGTCTCTGTAGTGGCCTTTTTTCTGCTGTCACCAATCAGAGAATGTCCCTTTTCCTGAATACTGTAGGAAGCCTTATTCCTGCTTTATGGATAAGGACAGCACTTGGGTTTTTATTTCACTAACTGATGTTGTCTCCACATTCTCTGTGGGCCTGGCCTTTCACAGGAACATGAAAAGCAATTAAGACACACACCCTATGTTATAAGAAAATAGAAAAAATCCAGTCGTGGTGTTGTCTCTGATACCTAATTCAGTATCCAAATAATGTAGGATCTGGGTAATATTTCAGTTCCCACTGCTGATTTCTTGGGTATTATGGTAAACAAGTGTCAGAATACAGTACCTGTCTGGTACCTAGTATACAGGTTGGGAGAGTGAGGTAAGTTTTGAAAACTCAAGTTGAAACCATGGTCCAGTCCTTGATCCACCATGAAAGGCTCGTGTTCTTTAGCATCCATTGGCCTGGCTCTGAGCACTATCCCTTGGGCCTCTGGTGACAGCCACAATGTTTAAAATGTCTCAGGAATCAATTGAGTAGACTTACTATGGATCTGAGTTTCTTGCACAGCCTTTTGGCCCTGGTTGATACAACAATGTGTGTCTATTTGATACAAGTATTATCTGAATGTAATCAAGAAATTGGCTTTCATACCACTTTTTCTTAGAATACGTAGTTTTGAACACAAATTTACTTTTTTAGTATTTAGTAGAGTTGGTTTAAGTTGTGGAATTTAGTCTTGAACATTCAGGAGGAATGATTACTTAGAAACAAAGCTGAAAACTTGATATCATGACATAAGCTAAAACTATTTATTGTAATAAAAATTTTTGTTTATTTTTCTTAGGTCTGGTGTGGAGGTTCTGTTTAATGAGTTAGAGATTCCTGAAGAAGAATATTCCTTTGGTAGATCAAAGATATTCATCCGAAACCCAAGAACAGTATGTAATCAAACCTTTATGCTCTGAACTTTAGAGTCTCATAGACAAGTTTTTAAAGAATAGTTGACTTCATGACATTACCTGAAATGCTACCATGAGTGCTTCACTCCTATGTTTATCTGTGCATGTCCAAGAAATTGTGCGAGTAAGGGTAGTGGAGAGTGTGTGTGTTATGTAAGACACATCAAATCTTCAATCCAAAAGATTGTGCCCCATTTAAGAAACCATAAAGAAATTGTCACAACCAGATGAAACCTTCCTGATTCACATCAAATGGGAAGTAAAACCAGTCTTTGTTACTAGAAACTATTAACTCTACTTTTAGAGATATACAAAGACAAAATTGAAAATTTTTAAAACTTTAAAGAACATTTCTAAAATTCTACCATATAGAACTCCAAGGGAGCTTTTTCATAAATGGATTAGAGTAAGTTCAATTAGCGTAACAGTTGATTTGATAATTGGAAATTTGGAGAACTTGAAGAGGGTTTAAATGGTTGAGGAGAGAAAATTTGGCACCATTCACTTCCTATCACAGGTACAGTGTCCCTTATCCAAAAGACTGGGTTCAGGTCTTGGATTTTTTTTTTTTTTTTTAATATTTGTATTGATTTTACTGGCTAAAATTCCTAATCTGAATATCTGAAACTGAAGTGCCCCAAAATCCAGAACTTTTGAGCATCAACATTGATATTCAAAAGGTTTCAGATTTGAAACCATTTTAAATTTGGGATTGTGGATGCTCAATCTAAACTAGTTTGGGTCCTCATAGTGTAAAGGTAAACAAACTCAGTTCAGCTTCTCTCTGATTTGTCATAAATGCTGATCATTGGAATACAAACTGCATCTGTCATGAATCCATTCAAATATTTTTCTTGTGAGTTATGATCCATATCCTGTGTGTTAATGTAGTTGATTTCAGTTTGCCATTTTACCTTCTGAGAATTACTGTCATGTATGCCATGAGGTTTTGGAGGATTTTTGATAAGTCCACCTATAATTTCTTCATTAGTTATTCAAATTAGAAGATCTGAGGAAGCAGCGGCTGGAAGACTTGGCCACTCTCATTCAGAAGATTTATCGAGGCTGGAAATGCCGCACACACTTCCTGCTAATGAAGAAAAGTCAAATTGTGATTGCTGCCTGGTACAGGAGATATGCGGTGAGTCTCAGTCAATTGTAATCTGAAATAGAGATGCTAATTTGCCAACAGTTGTCGTATACTTACTATGTGTATAGTATTTACATATTTAATTCTCTCAACAACCTTTTAAGATGGATGTTCTTAAGATGCCTTTTTTTAGGCCTGAGAAAACTAAAGCATTGAGGTGTGAAGTAACTTCCCCATGGCCACATATGGCTGCAAATGGCAGAATGGGGAGCTGAGTCCAAAGATGTTTCCAAGCTTGACTATACCAATTTATACATAGCAAGAAATTTACCTTGTTAGTTTGGACATAAGATTGGGTAAGACAATGTCATTAACCTTTTCACTCAGGTTGGGTCAGTTTTTCAAAATGACTGACTTTTCTATATTTATAGTAGCAGCATTAAGATGGCCTGATTTCCAGAAAGCCAAAGCTGTGTTTTAGTAGAGTTCTGTTTTTTCTTCAGTCTTCATATATCTGGCCATATTAACTCTGGGGAAAGATTCAATAATAAAGTATGTTTACTTGATTAATATGGAATTCCTTTTTGGAACTTTCTTTCTCACTTTTTTTATAGACGTTTGCTGGAGGCACAACACAGATTTAAAAGAAGCCTGAGGTTACCCATAGGCTAGATTGAAATTGAGTTGTATTCTTGAAAAATGAATTTTAGTGATAAGAACACCTCTTCCAAGTGTTTTTTATTGTTCTTTACTACAGAGTGAGTTGGGAAATGATTAAATTTGGAGTCAAATCTCAGCTTATTCTTTTTTTTTTTTTTTCAGTGACAGAGAGATTTTGCTATAAGGCTTTTTTTTTAATGGTTACTTATTCTTGTGTAATACATTTTAGTGTATTATTTCCAAGGTTTGGAAATTAGTGAAGTACTTAAATGATTAAACCAAAGAAAACGTGCTTGGTTTTTAAGTATCTTTAAAATTGCTTACCCTTGTTAAAACACACAACCAACTGGGGACACAGTGGCACACACCTGTAATCCCAGCTACTTGAGAGACTGAGGCAAGACAATGTCAAGGTCAAGGCCAGCCTGATTAACTTAATGAGACTCTGCCTAATGATAAAATAAAAGTCTCACCAGCTGTCCACACTGACGAGATGAGCTGGGTTCAAAAGAGCTGTCTGCAACATTAAGTTAAGAAAACGGTGAGAAATCATGCACCACAGAAGTAGTTTTCATGTTGAGGGTAAGATGGCTCTGCAACCTTAAGGGTCAGCTTCCACACTGGACAGTGCTGGAAAGGGAGAGTGTACACCTGGAATCTCTTTATTTTTTAGGGGAGACTCACAAAGGAGATTCGATGGAATGTTCTTCACCAAATAAGTCAGGGGATAATGTTTCCAAGGTGGAGTCTTGCTTTGTGATGTTTTGTGGTCAGCAGATTGATTGACATCTTGGCAAATCATACCTATCTCAGGTGCTGTGAGGGATCACCGGCAGAGCGAGAGGAAAGGCACACTTACATCGCACAGCCCAATCAGTGTGCAACGCCAGACCTGTCCCCTCATATAGTTTCAATGCACATAGCTCACACACAGCCCATGGATGGCTTGTGACAAAAAAGGGCTGAGGCTGTAGCTCAGTAGTGGAGCACTTGCCTCAGAAGCATGAGGTTCAATCCCTAGGGCCACCAAAAAAAAAAAAAAAAGACTACAACCAGCAGTACAAGTTTTAAAGTATGAACCTGTCTAGCTATGTGAATGACAGATTCATTCATGTGCATTCTACAAAGGCATTGAGAATTATTATCACCTAGCTGGGTGGCACTGGGTTCTTCTGTATGCACACTGCACTACTTAACTCTTCCACAGATTCACAATGCTGTTTTCTGTTTGGCTTAGAAAGGGAAGACCAGCAAATAATTGTTCTGCAAGGGGCCCTTTTGCTATTCCTTTTTTTGCAATCATCATAAAAACCCCAAGTTTAAGAGAATACTGAATTCATCTATCTTTAATTCTATAGTTTTGAAACACCAAATGTACTGGGCTCTGGAAATAGCAAGGTAAACAAAATAGCCTGATCACTGACTTGCTAAAGTTACACCTAGTAAGGGTGCATCTGAGAAAATAAATAATTAGGACAATTGCAGATCATTGTGAGATAGAAATGGAGAACCAAGATCAAGAATAATGGAGATGGGATATAACTAGATGGGAGGGTGGAGGAGGACCTTCTTGGGAGTGGCTAGACAATACAGAGAAGCAGAAACACCAAGTAGTATTTGTAACCTCCCTCCAGTAGAGAGCTTTTATATCATTGGGTGAAAAAAGTTACTATAAATCATTAATTCACAATGGTAGACATTATAAACAGTATTAATTTGCAGAATGGAAACAAATCAGCAGCCCAGTTTTTTGGGTGTGGTGCCAGGGATTGAACCCAGGGGTGCTTAACTACCAAGCCACATCCCCAGCTCTTTTCATTTTTTTTATTTTGAGACAGGATCTCACTAAGTTGAGGCCTTGCGAAGTTGCTGAGTCTGGCTTTGAACTTGTGATCCTCCTGCCTCAGCCTCCCAAGCTGCTGGGATTACAGGCATGCTTCAGGACACCCAGCCTAATACCCATTTTTTTTTGTGTGTTGTTGTTGTTGTTTTTTAAAGATGGACACAATATGTCTGTTTATTTTATTTATTTTTATGTGGTGCTGAGAATCAAACCAGTACCTCACATGTGTGAGGCAAGCACTCTGCTGCTGAGCTAGAACCTCAGCCTCACAATACCCCATTTTTAGAGAAAGGATTAACTTTCCTCTAGAGTTATTATCTGTTTCAACTTTGAACTAAGTACCTCAAGAAGTTAGCTATGTGTTATTCAAGCCAGTGATCAATTCAGTATTTCCTTTCAACTGAGTAACTCAAGATGTTCTGAACTCTTGTCTTCATTTACTGATTATTTTAAAATATTCCATATTCTGTGGTATTTCATAGAGATAAACTTTAAAGTGAGATATAGTTATTTCAAGAATTTATCAATAATTTCAAGAAACTCTCAAGAATTTAGGGATTGGAAAAGAAAATATAGAAGTACCAAATGGGTGCCAGAAGTGATGGTAGACCTTGTAGATTTAATTTGTCCCTGTGTACTTGGAATATTACTCTTTGAGGAATCATAGATGTTTCTTAGCTCCTCATTTGACCACTGAAGCACTGAAGCCCAGAGAAGGTGAGTGGCTCATCCAAAGCTCATCTCTGGGCTTTCCCTGCTGGCTCCCCCTTGTTCTGCTGCCCATCTTCCCCATTTCATCTGATCTTCCAAAATGGAGTCTAGGATCCTGAAGGCATCTCTCACCTCAGCAAACAGGAGCTGAGCAACTAGTGCTTCCAGAGTGAAAGATGACAGCATTGCTAAATTTCCATCAGAGATGCCCATGTCTCAGCATGTACTACAAACTAAATGCTGTAAGAGCTCACTTTTCTAGGGAGGGCGTTCCAGGACCTTCTAATATGAGGCATCAGCCCTAGAAGTGAGCAAGGTCTCTGAGCACTGAGCCAAAGCATGGCATCTTACTGGGTCTTCCAGTTTAACCTTCCTCTACTTGTAGAAACTCTGATGCTCTGAGCTCTCTTGTTGAGCTGTCTGCTCTCTGTCACTCCCAGGGATTGTTTATCCTTTACGCTGTTGACATGTGTCCTCTTCAAGTCCTTGAAGGCAAGAATGAAATCAGGCTCACCTTTACTTCATGGTTTTGTTCTAATGGGGGCTCCATATATAAATGTTCAATCAGTTGATACTGGTGTACAGAAATTTTTACCCGATTTCCTGTCTGGAAGCAGGGTGAAAACAACAAACTTAAAAGGAAACTAGGGAGATTCAAGGTGGGCCCAATAAGTTGCATGTGACAAGTGACACCAAGAAGAGAGAGCACTCAAAAGCAGATGGGTCCATCAGAATATGAGGCTCAGCCTTAGAACAGTGGAGAATAGGTGTTGACAGGGATGGCTCCTAAGCCATTTGGAAGTTATTTTTTTGTTATTTTGATGTGTACGTTGAATTTACTGTAGTAATTTTAGACTTCATTATTTTGGTTCTTGACATGTTTGCTTACAGAAGAAGTGTGAATAATATAGGGTCCTTTGTACTAAGTGAGTGAATATCCTTTCTCAGCCTTGCAGTGTCCGCATCACAGATATATATATATATAAATACAGCTGCTAATATCTTCCTCTTTTATCCTACAGCAACAAAAGAGGTATCAGCAGATAAAGAGTTCTGCCTTGGTAATTCAGTCATATATCCGGGGTTGGAAGGTGAGTCTAAAAGAAGTATGCTTTGTTTATTTGGGGGTTTTGGGTTCTTCCCAGGATGATGTGTTTAGGCTTACGCCGCAGGGGAGGACTCCTCTGCCTCCTGCCTACCCAGTAAACAATCCAATGGGAAGAATAAACATTATGGGCCAAGTGGGGGCCCTGGTGGCCATGTCTTGGCTGCTTCCTTCTAACCAGCTTTCTTTTTGAGAGCTTTGTTCTCCAAGCAGGAAGTTCTTGAAACAATACTGGACATGATCTCAGTATTCCCTTACCCCAGGTTTTTGACGGAAGCTGTGGCCCAGAGAGGTCTTACAGCCATTGCTTCCATGCTTGTGAGTCCTGTGTGATTTCAGCACCCCCAGCCTACCAATTTCCATATGACCATCTTGCAGATTGCCCTGTCATGACTAAAAGATCCTTCACTCTAGCCATGTCTAGTGGAGAGAGGGTAACAAGGAGTGGTCACTGTTGGGTAACCTGGTTCCAGTCCTTCCTCCATAGCTTAGCTCAGGGTTCAATGAACTGTGTCTCTCATGCCCCATATCTAACCTGTGGCCTGTTTTGATACAACTAGCAAGCCAAGAATGGCTTTCATATTTTAAACTGTTGTTAAGAAAAAACAAAAGAGGAGATTTCATGACATGTAAAATTTAATATAAAATATAGCTTTTAATGCCATGAAGATTTGTTGAGACATAGTCACATTCATTCATTGCACAGACCATCCAGCTACAAAACCAAAAATATTTACTATCTTGCCCAGTACAGAAAAAGTCTGTGAACTTTCTGCTCAGAGCCTGTGCTGACCACTTTGCTGTTGGGAGATTTTATGGAATAGTCTGGATCTAGACAGGATACTTTGAGGCTCCAGGTGTGTCCAGGCTTAGGGTTTCTTCAGAGAGTATACCCTGGGCCAGGAGTCCAGCAGCATTGGTGGACCTTTGTCTAAACTGACCATGGAGGCCCTGGTTGTCCCACAGAAAACTGTCAAAATGCAGACCTGAGCACGCAGAGTAAGTGACTGCTGCCTGCTGGGTCTTCCCTGACCTCATTACTGGACCTTCAGATTCAGTCTGCAGGCTAGAAACTGCAGAGGCAGGACCTGGAGTCCACCTCCAATCCGGATACTTCCCTGGCTTCCATAAAATCCGTTCCCAGCCATTACTGAAAAGAAGCCACCAGTTTGGGATCAGTGTGGGCAATGTTATTAGCAAATTTTAAAAACCTCTTTTAAATAAAAAGAATAGCTACACTTATATTCGAGACAGGTCATGATCAAAGAGGTACTCTCTCTAAAGTTCCCCTGACCACATTCTGAGAACTCTCCTCTCCTCTGATGTGTGCCAGCTTGCATCCCTGTGGTTAGATTTTTTCCTGTTGCCTCTCAGGCCAGGAGGCTGCTGTTCTTACCCGGTGTGGGGCGGGGGGAGGGTGGAACTGCCCTGTCAGGCTCAATGCTGTTGTTTTTGACCGTCTCAGACTGTTCTGGGCTTCCCTTTCTTTAAGATGTTGATGTTTCACTGGGTTAGGGGTGTTAGGACTTTCATCTCTTCCAGAATTTTCTCTTGGTTACTATGAATTTCTTTCTTTTTATTTTAACATTCCCTTATTTGAGTAATTCTGTATCCTAGGCTCGGAAAATCCTACGGGAACTGAAACATCAGAAACGCTGTAAGGAGGCAGCCACAACCATTGCCGCCTACTGGCATGGGACCCAGGTAGGCCAGAGGCCCAGAGGAAGGTGATGGGCCAGGAGTGACGTGCACAGAGCCATGGACCCTCAGCTTCAAGGGGCAGAACATGTTTCACTGGCTTAAGCTACTGAGCACGCGTTTGCCTCTCACTCTTGCCAACATTTTGGTGTGGGGTGGTGGCACATGCTTTTGCATTTACCCATTTACCGTTGGTGGTGACTGGTGTGTCTCTCTTTTTCATTCTCCATTGGGGAGCAGCAGTAACCTTTCCTGCCTTAAACTTTTCTGTAACTCCTTTTCAAATGCATCACAGGCGCGAAGGGAACTGAGACGGCTGAAGGAGGAGGCTAGGAATAAACATGCTATTGCAGTTATTTGGGCTTACTGGCTTGGATCTAAGGTACTTGGTGCTCGCGTCCCATTACTCCATTCTGGAATTCTGCAGTAATCAATCTTTCTCTCTAGCATATGAGGGGATGAATGATTATAATCAGTAGTGACTCAGCCTGGTGCATGTCCTGGCAGCCAGATTTAATAAACCTGGAGATGTATGAGTAGTGTGCATAGGAAGCTTAGGCATGTGTAGACCAAAACAACTAATTGCTTACTAATAAGGCATTAGTATATAGTTGCTAATTTTGAAAAACTCTTCAGTAACCTGCATGCTTGGTTTCTCCCTCTCACCCCCCACCCTTCCACTGATGTATGCTGGCAGCGTTTATAGAGGGTTTTTTTTTTTTGGTAGGGTGGGGGTAGGGGGCATGTTGGGAATGTTAAGATTTGGACTTGAATTAGTCCTCAATGTGTTGGCAATGAAAATGCCTTTAATGCATGCCTTAAAAATTAATCCATGAATGAAATTGTGATTTTTTTGGCTCTGTGTGGCAGCTATTGATTATTAGAAGCAAAATATTACATGTGAAAAGAGTTATCATCTTTGATTTCACAGAAAATTGTGCTCATGCAAAGCTAGCTATAATTGCCACCGAAGAATCCCAGGAATTTCACCATCAGCTGTTTGCTTTCAGAAACAAAGGCCTCCTGAAATGTTCTCCCTAATCCCCAGGCAGAGTCGTGGGCTCTGTGAACATTTCACATACCCCAAGGGACAAGGTTTTTAGATGTTTTTGTTACTTAGAAAACCAAAGGTCATCTTTGCTAAAAATGTGTATTCCAGTTAGAGACACAAATATCCACAGAGTCCTCTGTTTTTAAGTCTACCTTGTCAACATTACGAGCCCATCTTGTGAGAAAAAATGAGAAAAGTCAACCTTTGCCTGCATAAAGAGCTCAGTTTGCCAAAAACTAACCAAAATTGTTCATTAGTGTTTTTCCTAAAACATCTGTGAAAAACAAACTAGTTCCTTTCGTCATCTAAGGGAAATGTCCTCGCAGGGGCAGAAGGACTTTTACATGTTTTTTTGCTGAGATTTCTCCACTAATAAAGCTTATTTCCAAGTCATGTGATATATGATGTCTTAAAAAATTAAGCCTATTTTTTCCATTTAAGATAGCATGCATTAATGTTTCCCTAAGATTAATTTACAAACCTGAAAGGTATTTATTTCACTTTTTGCCTTGTTTCAATCTCCAATATATTTCCCTGTTTGGGACCTTAGCTAACATTTAATTTTTATACATACTACTACTAATTTTTCAACTGGAAAAAATTATTTGAGTTTTTAAATTTTCTTTCTCTTCTTTTTTTAATTTGCACTTCAGTGAAGCAACCTTTATTCTTTTCAGTTTTGCAAATGGTTGTTCATGGAGAGTTGCCTTTTTACTCATTGAAATGAGGTTCACAGCTTCTGTGGCCCCATGTACTCTCAGCAAAAGGGAAATCTAGTGGTCACTGTGTCACTCACCATTCTAAGGCTTCAATAAGGAATAAGAGAATAGAGAAAGAAACAAAGAAAGAGCCAGAACAGGAGGGGGGAAAAAGGAGAAGAATGGGCAGGGGAATGAGGGATGATGACCTTGGGTGCTACACAGATTGCCTCCTCTGGAGCAGAATCACGAACAGCCTCACCAGCTTGACACCAATCCCTTGGGTTGAAGTGGTTTTGCTCTGTTCCTCTTTCGTTCTGGAATCCTATTCATAAATTGGCTTTTCTGTTTGGTGGGGTATCTTTTTCTGGTCATTTGTGCTGTCTGCATTGGGCTGTCTCTTTTATTTACTATCTAAAACATTCTAGGCTCGAAGGGAATTGAAACGCTTGAAGGAGGAGGCTAGGCGTAAGCATGCGGTTGCTGTCATTTGGGCTTACTGGCTTGGACTGAAGGTACTTCCTCTACCACTTCTTTCTGCCCAGGGTGAACTCTGTAAAGCCTAGCACCTACTAACCCTGAAAGAACTACTGATAATGCTTGCTGATGGTCTGCACAGTCTATAAAATGTCATCTTGCCTGATTTTTCTTTTTGAGAAGAAACATGTATGCTAGTATTTTTGTGATTTTAATTTAATAGGTGTCAAGTCATACACAATGTGGCATATTTTATGAAAGACGCTTTGTCACCTGAGTTTGATTTTGTGTTAATCTTTTGAGCATATATATATATATATATATATTTTTTTTTTTAAATCATGAGACAGAGCATAATGGTGGAGCTGAAAGCTGACCAGCCACTCACAGTCACCAGCCTGGGCATAGCGGGTTTCCTTTGCCTGCATCTGCCTCTTCTGCTCCTCTAAAGGCTGCTTGGAGTCCAGCATTCTTCAAAGCAAGCATCATCTTAACTGTTCAGCATAGACACGAAAGGGTTTTGTGTCAGTAAACTTACGGATTTTCATGAATGAGATGACAGAGATCAGTGGATCTTGCAGTTAATGAGAACTTTAAGTTCAAATGCCTTGTGATTAGGGCAGGGTTTTATTCCAGAGAGATGCTTATTGCTGCAGTAGGACAAGGGTACACATAATTAAATATGTAAATACGACTGAGCTTTGAAAACCTTCAAAATGACTTTCAGACAATGTGAAGATTTGGCCTTCTTAATATTCAACTACTAATCACCTCAAGGAATCATCCAAAATCATCTATCTATAGTGCCTACTGGGGATAATTAGACACCCCCCCCCTTTTTTTAATACTGTATTCCTCTTCATTATTTTTACTTTAATCTGATAACACTGAATCTTATTCTAAACATTTAAATATTAACTGAGAAATCATTGACTCTGAATCTGAACAACCCTTAGAAATATCCCTGAATCTTTGAACTTTCTACAATTTCCCCTGAAAGTTCAGCCTATAAACTTTAAAATGTCCTTATTAATCCTGATTACTCATGAAGTAATTTTTGAAGTAATTAAGAAGTAACTTAAATGTGAATTTAACAGATGTTCTGTTTGAAGAATTCTGAAAAAGTTCGGTAACTGCTTTTTTTTAGACTCCAAACAAAACTAAACATTTTTCTATTTTAGTCACATCTTCTAATTTGCATTGTAATTTTCATAAAAAGAAGGGAAGTAAACAACAATGAGTCAGGATTCTTACTCTGTAATAATTTCTATCAGTAATAAATATGTTTATCTTCAGTTCTTGGTTTAATTGCATATTATTTCAAAATGTTTTTGCATTCAAGGTGTGCATTTAGCAACCTGCTATACAAATTCAGCTTGTAGATATTAAATGTCATTTTAGCAGAAGTTAAATAGCTTTTCCCCCAGTTTCCAATGAGGCAAAAATATTTTAATGTGTTACCACTATTATTGTTACAAAATAAGATTAAACTTCTTTGGAGTCCAAAAATGAGATTAATTTTACCTTTTTTTTTTCTTAAAAGCGGATTATATTGATATGAACAATAGCTTTGCCCTTTGAAATGATTGGATTTTCTTTTGGAAATGATTACAAAGTACACTGAACCCGGACCTTTTAGGACTCCTGGTGCCCACGAGAGGTCTCCATTGTATATACCAGCATGTTGTCACCAGCCTTTTACTGTCTATGTTTTGGGGAGAAATGACATATTCTGTAGAATATCAAAAAGCATGTTGCATTGAGCTCAGTTATTATAATGAATTTCAACTAGATAGAACTAACCACAGCAGAACTTCTAATCCCTTGTTTAAAGATGTTCACATGCAACTTGTTCCACCTTAATTTGTGTGCTTTCCTGTACTATTATAATTTCAGGAAATTTTCAATTTCTTCATTTCCCTTCTAGCATCATAAGTTGGAGATTCAAAATATTTGTGAATCTAACAATTCCATGGCTAAAAGGGAAATTATAAGTGGAATATAAATACAAGGAGGAACTGCCTTTATGGCATATGGCATAAATTTTAAATAATAATAATATTAATAATCTTCAGTTGTGTATAGTGGGTCTGGGGCTCAGATGCCCAGAGGGACCAACCTAGTGACAGAGAAGCAGCAGGTGGAAGGTGGCATGGGACCGCAGGACTCAGGCAGTTTGGAACATGCCTGTCTCTTCAACAGTGACCACTCTGGCCCACCAGGTCCTTTACTTGTAGGAATGGGGCTCACTGTTGCTAAACCCAAGAAAATTATAAAAGAAATCTACAGTCTTAACTAGTAAGATATTTATGTACAAACTGAGTTTGGTTAGTAGGTTGGTAGCTTTCTAATGTAGAAATATTTTGAACATGTGCATCTAAACCTAAGAAATTGGCAACAAAAGAAAAAGCTACTTAATTCCGGATTATTCAAATAGAGTAATATTTTGCTCTATCCTGGCTCTCCCATTTATATTAGGATGATAATAAATATAATATTTCTCAATTTCAAAGTTAGCTGTATCATTCATTCACAAACACCTCATTTAGTTATTGTTCTTCGTTAGACAGTATACAGAATAAATTAAAACAATGTAGCATGGGAGAGTGAATCAAAACCATAATATATGTTTTAAGTGCTATGATAACATTAAGTGTAAATTAAACGGAGGATAATGGTAGTTTAAAAGCTTCTTTTTAAATACTTATTTTTATCCACATTCAGTTCTCAGTAAATTCTGTCTTCATATGCAAGGTTTTTGGAAATATCAATATAATTCCTCAGATATTTTCCCCCATTTGTTTAAAAAAAACTGAAGGGAGATTATCTTATATAATATTTTCTGAAGTGTATTTTAATTTGTGGCAAGTTTGCACAAATGTTTCTTGTCAAATCATCTATTTAAAAAACTTACTAATAGGATTTAAAACATCCATTCATTTTGATATTATCATTTTGCATCTCTCAATTTCTTTTTCTCTGACTTAAGATCTACCATCTGAGTGTGCTTTCATTAGTTTACTCAATCCAGAAAGGACACTTATAAATTGCTTGTTTCACAAGTTGTCTTTTTTTAAAAGAGAGGTGTATCATTGTGATCACATGCTGGCCACGCTGTAACCACAGATCTGCTTCATCTTCTTAAAGGTACGTAGAGAATACAGGAAGTTCTTCAGAGCTAATGCTGGAAAGAAAATCTATGAGTTTACGCTTCAGAGAATTGTAAGTTGACACTTTATATGTATGGCTAATTAACCTTATTGGATTAAGAACTTGCTAATACCAACTCAGTAAACTCAGTAAATTGTGAATTTTTTTAAGTGACAGTGTCTTTTTTGGTAACGATTTTAAATTATAACTGAACAGAGTTAATTATCTTTTGTATCATTCCCCATGCCCCAAATTCAGTAGAATTGTGTCAGAAAGATGTAGGTGCCTATACATGATTCATAAAATTGTCATCTTCTTTGACAGAAAAAACTTGGAGGAAAGTGATTCATCAGGAAAGTCAGACTCTTTCTCTGTTAAACCTCAAGAGCTGCAACAGGGCAAACAAGTTAGGGGTAAAGGAAAGCAAGGCTGGGTGAGGCTGGATCCTGCCCTTTGCTTCTAGAGAAGTGAATGCAGTGGGGAAAAGAGTGCAAACACTGGGACTGGCCTGCATTGCTGCTTAAGATTTGTTACTTTAGCAAGTTATTTAGCTTCTGCAAACTTTGTTTGGTCATCTGTAAAATGGGTATAATAATAGCAATAACCTCCAAGCTGTTATGAGGATTGAAATGGAGTAATGCTATGAAACTCTTACAATGCCTGGCATGTTATGAACAGATGCTCCTCCACTTAACGATGGAGGACTCCCATTAATTCATCATATATTGAAAATATGATATAGATAATACACTGAGTACGCCAAACCTACCAAACATAGCCTAGCAGCACACCCCACTGAGGTGTTTTAGTTGTGCACCCTCCTGATTGCACGGCTGACTGGATGCCGTGCTCACTACTGTTGCCCAGCATCTCGAGAAACTTGAGCCACATGTCACTAGTCCAGAAAAAGACCAGAACTCAAAGAATAGTTGCTACTGAATCTACATTGCTTTTGTATCATTGGTAAAGTTTAAAAAAAAACACACACACACACACACAAGCTGAACCTTTGCTAGGTTGGGGACCATGTGTTCTCTATAGCAGTGCTGTCCACCGGGACTTTCTGCAGTGATGAACATGTTCTATAACTTTGAGATACATAAAGTATCTGCTTGCCACATGAGGTTATGGAGCATTTGAAATGTGGTAGTGTGACTAGGAACCCAATTTTTTATCTTATTTTATTTGAATTTCCAAAAATTTTAATATAAATAGCCACACATACCTAGTACCTACTTATTTGACAGTATAGCTCCATAGTGTTGGCTGATGTTAACACTAGTGTTCGTGTGACTGTTTGAGTTAGTTTTCTTTTCTATTAACCATTTGGTAGAGCTCAGATTTCTCTGCTTGATATGAAAGAATGGACTAGAGACTTCCCAGAGGAGTTACAAAGTTCTATGAGCTAAAACTTGATAAATTCTACTGAAGACTGAGGGTCATTTGATCATAGAGCATGTAAAACAGTGTCTTTTCTGAAATATTTTCCTCATCTGGTATCTTCTCTCAAACCCAACACAGGTACAAAAATACTTCTTGGAAATGAAAACTAAGATGCCTTCTTTATCGCCAATAGACAAGAATTGGCCATCCAGACCTTATCTATTCTTGGATTCCACTCACAAGGAACTAAAAAGAATTTTCCACTTGTGGAGGGTAAAAAATGTCATGATTGAATTTCTTCAGAGATTTATTATATATTTCGAGTGTTTGACAGCTGTTATGTAAAATCAAATTTTTTTAATATTTATTTTTTAGTTTTTGGTGGACATAATATCTTTATTTTATATTTATATGGTGCTGAGGATCGAACCCAGTGCCTCATGCATACTAGATGAGCACTCTACCACTGAGCCACAACCCTAGCCCCTAAAATCAAATTTTTAACACATTCTTCCTTTGCCTCAGAGGGACTTATTTGAGGACTTTGGTATTCTTGAACTTTGCATTCGCTGTACTTGACTTTCTGGGGGCTCCCTCAGCAGCCGAGGCAAAGCCTGTGAGGTCTCCTCTCGGCCATGGTTAGAGGAGCAAAAGGTTGTACCAACTTTTTGTTCTAGGTTTCAGTTGCTTTCAAGTGGTCCAGTTTGTGTTTTTCTCTTCCTATGAAAAGATATTACAGGAAATAGAAACTATGAAATTTTAATGTCTTCAAACAAGATTGTTAAATCCTACAGTTGTATGAGTTTATCAGATCTGTTGAATACATACAATCCACTTATGAACACAACACTTGGATTGACTGGAAAAAGGCATTGAAGTCCCTAAAAGACAAGATGTCCTCTACCTAAAATAAAGAGAAGCTGAAAATCTATTTTATATTGCCTTATATCTTAGTACTCTAATTTCATAGGAAAGCACAACGTGCAATTTAGGTGTTGGGGTACATGGAGTACTTGTTATAGATGTTGACTTTATTTCAGAAACTTGGTTTAACCAGGTATGTGGAATGCTGAATATATGCAATTATCAGATGTAATAAAATCATTAGGTGGAAGAGTTTATATTTAGTCAAGGAATCATGGGTGGATATATTTTCTAGGCAGCTCTTTCCTGCCTAGCAGTGTAGGCCTTGTCCTTTATGTAAAAGAATCACATGTGTATAGAGTGACATTATTGCTAATTAGCCTGACAGGTGGGACTTGCTCAACATATGGAACTGAATCATGAGTTCTGTTCTGTAATAGAGATTCAACAACTTCTCAGTTGTTCATCTCCCCGATTGAGTGTAACATAGAAATTATTTTCAGAAAGAACAACAGGGAGCTACTAATGCAGGGGTCTGCCCTTCCCTCCCAACCCCATCCTGACCTACCTGGGACAGGAGATGGGGGTTGAGAAGCCTGTTTCCTCCTGAAGGGAGCCTTTCTGTGGGAAGAATTGGAAGCAATGCTAATGTTTTTGCATGAAGTTATTTCAGCGGTGGTATTCAACCCCTCACCTCCAACTGAATGTCTTGGAACATTCATCTTAAAAGTTTGTCCCTGCTTCTCTGGCCATCCCAGTCTCCTTTCATTGTGTCCCTAGGGTCAGGATGAAGGGGGACTTCTCAAGTGTCCATGCACATTGTAAAGTGGAAGTAGAAGGATTTGTTCTGGTGTTTTTCAAACTATACATCATAGCATATTTGTGGATCTTGAAATCAATTTAATAGCTTACTACCAGGGTTTTTAAATAATATAAGTAGAGAATAGAAAATAGCAGAGTACACAACATGCAGAATTAAATATTGTTTTGACAAGCTTTTTCGTCATCCTCTGTGTATGTAAATGTGTGCACTGGGTTGTGAGGTCCAGATTTTTTTTTGCTTTGTGTCTCTGTTAAAGAATTGAGCCTCAGGACCGGGATCCTTAGGGACTGACATCACAGCAGGATGAGTCTGCCCCTCACAGGGCACATGCCAGTTGGGCCCTGGTGGGTTTTGAAGAAGTATTCCACATTCTACAAGAAAAATAATAGCCTTTGTACTTTTCCAAAACTAACTTCTTAAAAATCGGGAAGGAAAAATGTTTTGGCCTCTTAAAATGAATGTTTTTTTCACTTTCACTTTTATTCTTATTGCTATTAAATTAACTTAGCATATTTAAGAAAAAGTAAAAGTTCATTTATATAAGTGATGTTTTCTTTTTTGTTGTTTTTCTCCTCGTATCTCACAGTGTAAAAAATACAGGGACCAATTCACAGACCAGCAGAAACTTATTTATGAAGAGAAACTAGAAGCCAGTGAGCTCTTCAAGGATAAGAAGGCTTTATACCCATCTAGGTATTCTGGTTTTGCTTTACCCATAAAAATCAATATTTTAAAACTTGTTCTCCAATACATATGAAGGTCTTTTCTAGTGAAGTTTTGATTTCAGTACTAGATGAACAATTATTAATTATGTGTATAATTTTCTAATCAGCTGGATGTGAGTGCACATAAACACACTTAAGCGATAGTTTCCACAGTATTCTTTGATGAAATGAGATTACAGGTGGTTTTACTCTGTTGACATTAGCCTGCATACTTTACTGAATAATTGGAAGTCATATAAAATAAAAATATATAGGCTATTAAGATAAACTTGCATTTAAATTCCTATTTTCAGATTTCTCTTTGCAATATGTTGTAAATACCATCCCAATCTTCCTGCCCTAACAAGCCAGGTCAGAAACTCATTCATAAGATCAACAAAAGTGAAACAGTGTGTTAGTCTCTGGGTGTTGCATAAGCATGGGTTTGTGGTGTCCTTTGGTCAGCTAACTCATCGGTCATGACTTCAGTAGCCTGTGCAGCAAGTTCAGCTGCTTTATTATCAACACCACATACTCAGAAAAAGAAGGAACACAATTGCAAGTTTGGCAAGTGAAGTCCTTGGTGAAGACTGCTTATCTGATTATTTGTATATATCCTGCACCCATCATTTCCCCCCACAATTACTAATTTCATCTGGCACTTATAAAAAAGTACTTGTATAATTTCAAGCCAAAAATCTTCTAACTTGTTTTAGTAACAACTTGTTAACTTCTCCTAAAGACTGACTTAGAAATAAAAAAAACATTTTTATTCTAAATACTCACATGTATTTCATATACTGTCTCCATCTTCATGCCTATTTGAAAGCTCTTCATATATATATATATATATATATATATATATATATATATATATATTAGTTATAGATGAACACACAGTATCTTATTTATTTTTATGTGGTGCTGAGGATCAAACCCAGTGCCTTGTACATGCAAGGCAAGCACTGTACCACTGAGCCCCAGCCCCAGCCCCGAAAGCTCTTCTTTTTAAAGGACTAAATGAATGCAAGTTGCCGGTCTCATTGGCTTTAAATATTTTAAGTTGCACAGCTTCCTTGTTAGCTGATGTGGCTGTTCCAACTGGTACTTACTCCCTTATGTCCAACATAGTGCCTGAATCCGGAGTCGTCCCAAGTGCCTGCTCTGTGAAGCCTGCTTCAACAGAAAAACTGTCTGGATGCTTTCTCCGGCAACTAATGCCATTCAACTTTCCTTTTATACCCTTAGAGTCACCTTCTTAATGAACATTCCCTGTAGATGACTCTTAGAAACTGGAGGCCGGAGAGTACATTTTTGAGGAGGCAAACTAGCAGGCTCTTAGCACTTTTCATTATTTAAAACATGCTTGAATAGGAACACACCAAAAAAAGTTCACTTCAAGCCAAGTTCTTTTTGGGTAGTTTTTGTCAGTTTTCAGGGACGGTGGTGGTGCTCTCACACCACAAGCAGTGGGAGACATGGAATAATTAGCCCTCCCACCTCTCTGTGAAACAGCAGCTCCTATGGGCGTTGGCCTTTCATATCCCAGGAGCTGTGAAGCACTGGCCACCTACGTGGATTTTTCTTCCCTGATCCTCCACCCACGATGCAAGCATTTAAAGTTGTGTGTGCACGCTGCCAGAATTGAATAGCTCAAAATGAAGCTGGTAGATCTCTTGAAGCTGCAGTTTTTTCCTTGGTGTCTTTGAAGAAACTGCCCTAAGAGAGTCACCCCAGTCTTTAGGGAAATTGACATCTTAGTGACACATGCAGGGTTATACCTTTGCCAGAGTAATATGTTTGAAAGAAAACTGCTCTGATTCTGAATGTGGGTCTTGGCCACTCTGACCACTTGGAGGCACATTCTAGGCATCTCAGCTGGCCTTCCTTTCATACCTTGCCTATTTAAAACCAGAGCTACATGGTGTACTAAGTGCTGTGTAGTGATTACGCCAAATCCATTCTTCCCCAGAAGCCTTATTGATTTTCTTCTTCTCTGTGAGAAAATGAAATTTCTCTTTAGAGAGGGTGATAGGAATGATTTCAGTTCTTTTTTCAGTGCCACATATTATTTAAAGGCATTAGTAAAGCTTCTGTGGGCAGCTGTTAACTTTATATTAACAGATTAGAAGAAATTGCCTTTTCCTTCACACGAGGCCATGTACTTGAGTCTGGCCCTCGTTGTTAGTGATTTCTATCTTGATTGTTCCATGAGATAAGATTTTTATCAAAATCCTACCTACCAAATGCCGTGATCACATCTAAAATATTTTTGAAACAGGTTTTAAGTTTTCATTTTCAAGTTAACGTTTAGGACAGGTGCAAGTGAAATATACAAAATAAATTGATATTACTTTTCATGAAGTTGTCAGGTACTCCTTAGAAGTAACTGACTTGTTTCCTTTTGCCCACAGTACTTCCATTGAAACCATTTCTAACATGCAGGAATTGTTTCTTCTTAGTGTTGGGCAACCATTCCAAGGAGCTTACCTGGAAATCAACAAGAACCCTAAGTACAAGAAACTCAAAGATTCCATTGAAGAAAAGATCATCATTGCTGAAGTTGTGAACAAAATTAACCGTGCAAATGGGAAGGTAAAAATGCTAACCTTGAAGAATTGAGAGGCCCCCAAGACAGTCTTCCTTAGTTTTCTGAATGTTAAAATTTACATCTTGCCTGGCGTGGTGGTACACGCTTGTAATCCCAGTAGCTCCGGAGGCTGAGAAGGAGAATTGTGAGTTGAAAGCCAGCCTCAGCAATCGCCAGGCACTAAGCAACTCAGTAAGACCCTGTCTCTAAATAATATTCAAAATAGGGCTGGTGATGTGGTTCAGTGGTTGAGTGCCCCTGAGTACTCAATCCCTAGTAACCCCCCAGAATATTTACATCTCATATTCTCGGTGGAGTTAACTTGAGGGGATTTCACCTCACCTTTAGGCTTAGGCAAAATTTTGCTTACTCTCTGAAATTTCTATGAATTTAAGTATGTTATTTATGTCCTTTGACCTATTCTCAGTTTACATAGAGATGCTTCCTGAAAGATGATGAAATAAAATGTGCATTTCTGCAAATAACTAATGCTTTGAACTCATGGACCATTTGGGGGTGTTTGTGTTCACTGGTTTTACATCTCTTTTGGTTTTGTTTTAGAGTACATCCAGAATTTTCCTCTTAACAAATAATAATCTCCTTCTCGCTGATCAAAAGTCTGGACAAATCAAGTCAGAGGTTCCCCTGGTGGATGTGACCAAGGTATCGATGAGCTCACAAAATGACGGCTTCTTCGCTGTCCACCTCAAGGAGGTAAAAGTTCACCTAATGACTTAACGAGAGTGTTTCTCTGTTTGTCCAATTTCTCAGCCATGGATTTAAAATTTTTCCCATCAGACTAGTACTATTGCCTGATGTCCTCCCTACTGATTTACAAATTTTGGCTATGTTAACTCCTGTATAAAATCTCATGTTCGGTTTTTCAATAATTGAATAAGGTTAGTCACTTTTATTGATTTGCTCACTTGATGTTTTAAATTATGTCTCTTCCTGTTCTTTATTCTGCATACCAACTTACATATGTCTTCTTGTTCATTTTTGATTTGTTGTTTTTTTATCAAAGGACAGAACTGCATTAAAACCATTGCCTAATAATTTTGACCTAAAGGTTTTCTAATGTTCATACTGTCTGCTTAACCAGGACCTCCTAGCTTGAAAGGAATGGTTAAGTGTAGTAGCTAGACTTGTTCTCATTAACTGTGATGCCTGTCGCCATGTCATTTAACTTTCATGAGCCATCTCAATTTTTCTTATCTTTAAAATGGGGATAATAATTTCCCTACTTCATTGCGTTACTATGAAGATTAAGTGATACTGTATGTAAAGTGCTTAGCACAGTACCTCTCATGTATAATATCATTACTAAATACACAAATGTCAACAAATGTTAATCATGTTTAAGGTTATGCATCTAGGTAATATAGTGACACTGACCGACTCCTAACAGAAAAACCCCAAAGCTTACCTTAGCCTGTTTTCCCCACCATGCATTTTAACATAAAGGGGGTGTTTTGAGTCACAGGACAGTGATTATCAACCTCAAGTACACATTAAAGCAGAGTGGTACTCTAAGAAATGCTGACTTTCAGACCATACCCTCAGAATGAAACATAAGCATCCTATTTTGGGAAAGTTCCCCCAGATGATTCTCTTGTGCAGCTTAGGTTGAAAGCTGCTACTGTAGGATATTTGTTGCAAGTGTTATTGTTGTTATTTTTTTTTTCCACCAAATCACTGAGGAGTTTTTTAAATAGCTTTTTCAGATTGAGTCATAAGCTAGGTCAATGCTCCCTGATCCTGAATGTGCAGACCCACCACCCAGGGATCTTGCTGTGGACTCTTATTCAGTGGCTGCTGTAGCAGAGCTGAGATCCTGCTTCTCTAACAAGCTCCCACATGATTTGGATGCTCCTGCTGGTCTGTCAACCAGCTTTGGTAGCAAGGGATCAGATAACCTTACTCAAGTGCCCTGGTCAGTTGGAAGAAGTACGGCTCTTGTCCTTACTGTTTACATTGGGGAAATGGACTCCCGTGTGTGAAGTTTTAAGGAGACTGTAAATAGGTTTTCAGCCAACCCTGTAAACATTTTCCTCCTCAGCTGTCTTTAATTATCTCTGACTCTTGGCTTGTCCTTTCAGGGCTCAGAAGCAGCTAGTAAAGGAGACTTTCTCTTCAGTAGTGACCACCTGATTGAAATGGCCACCAAGCTGTATCGCACAACTCTCAGCCAAACCAACCAGAAGCTCAATATTGAAATTTCTGATGAGTATGTTCATATATTGTTTAATGCACCTTTTTGCTTTTAGTTTTATAATTTTAGTTCAGCTCTTTGATCTCATTCATTAATACAGCAGCTACTTATGTACCCAGTATGTGTCTAGTATTCGTTTTGGTTAAAGGACAGGCAGTGGATGGCACTGTCCAAGTCCCTACCTCAGGTACCTGACATTCTAGTGGGAAAGAAGAAGATACCCAGATAAGATAATAAGTAGGTGGCAGGGTTTGGGCCAGTAATGGGTGCTTGTAGTAGAGGGAAAAAAGCAATAGTCAGAGGGTATTCTTCTTAACAAGAAGGTCAGGGAGTCCTCTTTGATTCTGTGACTCCAGAAAGGAAGCGAGCTGGGCAGCAATCTCAAGAGAGACTTTACAGTGCAGAGCAGCTACCGGTACAAAGGCCCTGAGATGGGAACAAACTTTGTAGCAGAGCAGAAGGTAGGAAGACCCTGAAGAGAAAAACATAGCCTACACATGTAGATCTTGGTATCTGAGCTAAGTTGAGACTTTATTAAGGATGATGAGAAACCATTATTTGGTATTGAGCAAGGGTGTGGCAGGATCTGATTTATTTTCAAAGATGGCTTTGGTTGCAGTGTGGACAGTAACTACTGGGAGGCAGGGATGGAAGCAGGACTCTGAGCTGTCTAGTGCAAGGGTGATGTGACTTAAGCTAGAGTGAGATGGTGAGAAATAGCCAGCTTCTGAGCGTAATTTGAAGGAAAACAAAGTGTATTAACAGATTGGGTGCTAGGCATTAGGCATTTGTTGCAGAAGTAGATATTGAGGGATGAGGGGTTTAGAAGTGGCCAGGGAGATTCTGAATGGTTAGATTTGAGATGACTTTTTTTTAATATACATTGGTAACTAGAGTTGGAGTAAAGGCCTTCCATGTTAACAAGGGGGTATTAGTGCAAAGACTGGTGTAAATTTAAAACTTGCTTTTTCTTCATTTCACATTTATGTTCAAATTGTAAAGGCTAATTATTTGCATATAGGATGGGACATCCCGCCATATATTAAATATACACATGTGAGGTGTTTGAATGAATTTGAGTGACTAAATTGATTAATACTTAACTGATTATTTGTTATCAATAATAACAATTATTAATAATATTAATAATTCACCAACAACTTATATACTTCTTTGCATATGTTAGAAAGATTAGATAACCAGATAACATAGGAAGATTTTTTTTTTCTTTTCTTTTCTTTTTTAGTACCAGGCATTGAACTCAGGAGCACTCAACCACTGAACCACATCCCCAGCCCTATTTGGTATCTTATGAGACAGGGTCTCATTGAGTTACTTAGCATCTCACTTTTGCTGAGTCTGGCTTTGAACTCACGATCCTCCTGCCTCAGCCTCCTGCACCTTTGGATTATAGGCATGCACCACTGTGCCCTGCTGAAGATTTTATTTTATAATTCAAAGTTTTTCATGCTGGGGATGTGGGGATGTAGCACAGTGTCAGGGTACTTGCCTGAGACTTGTGAGGCCCTGGGTTCAATCCCAATAATAAAAAAAAAAAAAAAAAAAAAAAAAAAAATCAAGAGTTTTGCAGTTTTTTAAAAGAAGTTTTTGTTTTGTTTTGTTTTGTTTTTGTTTAAAATAAATTTATACATATCTCAGCCCCTCTGTGAATCACACTCTCAGTGATGTTAGGATTTATGATATCTTTAGTTCATCCTCAGTTCTCCCTGAACACTAGGGATATTGATGGGGTAGGAGATGGAGCTTTATGGGTACACTACACTGGGAATGGATGTTTGGACTACATAACTTGTTACTTTCTTATAAAAACAAAATAAAGAATATTAGGGAAAAAAAGATAATGGCAGATTAAATTCCAATTTAATTAAAGTTTTAACCTGTCAGGGCATGTTCGAGCTTTTAACTCCCTTTGGTAGAGGTTTTTCTTAATTTGGGATTCTGGGCTTGGTAGCTCCTGCCATTTCCTGCTCATCATGAGATCATATTTATTTCAAAGATTGATATATTCCCCCTCGATACATGGATGAAGCAGTCTCATAGTTGCCCATGGCATTAATAGGGTTATCTGTACAGAGGCAAGAAATCACAACTAATCCAGACTTCAAAGGATGGTACTTTTAAGCACTTCCTATATTGATATTCTAAGAACACTACTCTTAAAGAATGTTAAGGAAAATGTGCTATGAAAGAAATGTTCTCTGGTGAAAATTGAAAAGCAGTCTTACCATACGACTTCTCAGAACCTCTGAAATCTAGTTGCACACTTTGACTCTCTGGAGGGGCTTTGGAAGATGTAATGTACTGTGTTTCCCAAATGTAGTCAACCACTGAAGCCCTCTGGTGGATCTCCTGGGCTGTGTGCAGAGGCACATCACTCAGGAAATGCTTTCGAGATGAGTTCACTTCTGGGCATCAGGAACTCTGCCTGTCAGAGAGGCGTATGGTATTCTGATGGTATAGCATGGCCACGTGAAGACCACAGATACATGACAACATTGTTACTCCTCTCCTCTGGTTCCTAATGATTGGGTGTTCTGATAAAAGTAAAGCAGCTGATGGAAGAAGTTTCCAGTGCAGCTCTTTCAAAACCCTGGGAGCTCCTTGGTCAGGGATGCCTGGGTCTGTGTTTTCAGCTGACAGTGACTTTACTCCATTTCCTTACCAGCTGCAGAGAAGCAGTGTCAAAAAGAGCTTGCAGTTCAGTGACTAACCCCTTCCTCGTCACATCGTTTTTGGAAGGAGAAGTAGTGATTCTAACAAGCCCAGTTTCTGCAGTCATTATAGATAAACTGAACATTGGTCTTCAGGAAGGCAGTCCAATCTTAGTGCAGTTTTTAACTTGCCCAAGTAGAAATGAGAATTGAATTCATTGAGAGACTCAACCGCTTTATATGATTCCTAATTCTTTTTTTTTTTTTTAATTTTAAAATGTTTTATTTTGGTTGTAGATGGACACATACCTTTATTTTATTTATTTATTTTTATATGGTGCTGAGGATCGAACCCAGTGCCTCACACATGCCGGGCGAGTGCTCTACCACTAAGCCACAACCCCAACCCCAGATTCCTAATTCTTAAACTCACAAACGGTTTAGTTGGTAAACATTGCATTTTGAGGATAACCTGCAGGTGTACAGAATTTCTAAAAATGAAGTCCTGAATATAGTGAAAACAACAGTGAATTTGTTCTACCAAATATTTTAAATATATGTATCATTTAATATATTAAATCCAAACAACTAGTCTATGTTGTTTTTACTTTGAAATTCTAACTTGTATTAATGCTGCAAAATAATGCATTCCATGTAACTGTTTGCTGGAACATGATTTTCAGTTTTGTCCTCTTTGAAATGGAGATGAATAGTAGTCATCGCCTCCTTAGATTGTGTTACAGCTGAGTTAACACAAGTAAGTGGCCAGGAACAGTATACATGGTCCCCAACACTTTTGAGCTGTTGATATTTCTAATATGAATCTTGGTCATGAGCTATGAACATGGAGATGTTAAATGTAAGTTAAATTCAATAGGAAAAGAAGGTCCTACACATTGAACACACCACATATGATCGTTGAAAATAAAAATGAAAAATATTTGATTTTTGAAGCATATGAATTTTTATTGAATTTTTTGAACATTTTTTTTCTTTGAGGCACATGAATAAAAGCATACAGGCCAGAAACATATCTCAGATAGGAAAACGTGGAACTACAGCTCTTCTTTCAGTCCTTTCAAGTTGAAAAGAAACAACCCATTTGAAAGGCCAGCATGCTATCCTTGTAAAGCAACTGATGAATTAGAAGCTTTCGTGTCATTTAGCTCCAGAAATGATGTTTGCAAAACACAGCCTCTTCAGACCACGAAACTAAGTTGACATATCCAAATGAAATTGTTCAGGTCCTTGCTACTGCTATGGATGGCCATGAGGAGTGATCTGCCAAATACCTGTTACTCACTTAGTAATGTGCCAGCAACCCAGAAAAACTGTTCCCTGAGAACAGAGAAAACATTGCTATGGGATATTGATGTGGTAGAGAGAAAAGTCAATGGTTTTGAGATGGGAAGACCTGGTCCAGCTGTGCTACTCTAATGCGGTCCCTGAGAGCAGGACCCTCATTTTATACAGCTGGCTGTCCTTCACAATGCTAGGTGCAAACAACAAACTTGTAGACAGTCACTTGTCCCCGGCTGGTCTGCAGAAGGAAGGATTTGAACTAGAATATGTTTTTTTAATGTATCACATATACCACTGGTGGGGTAGGAGGTAGTTTTGGGTGTACAGTAATGGATTTTTAATGTTTTAAAATTTAAAATTTAAATTTTTTTTTTGTGTGTGTGTATGGTTTTTGTTTGTTTTGTTTGTTTGTTTGGGGGGGTACCAGGGATTGAACCCATGGGCACTTAACCACTGAGCCTCTTCCCCAGCCCTTTCCATTTTTTGAGACAGGATCTTGCTAAGTTGTTGAGGCTGTATTTGAACTTGTGACCCTCCTGCCTCAGCCTCTTGAATTACTGGGATTACAAGCATGTGCCACCATTCCCGGCTTTTATATAAATATTTTAATGATTATTAAATGGCAGATCATAGTGACATGGCTTTATCATTCTATAGTCACTATTACTTTGTAATAGTTTTAGCTATAAATAAATATTAACATAGTGTACATGTGCAAATATGACAAAAATTGTGCAGGAAATATATGCACACCCAGTGTTTGGAGAGGGTCTCAAGGCTCCTTCCTGTTCTGAAATTCTCAGTTTTATTTCTCAGTTTGTTGATAATTTAATCGGACCCCTCCCCAGTTTATGTTTTTGCCAGAAGCAAGACAGAGATAGAACATGTTGGTCTTTCTTTTTGAAACATGGAAATAATTATTCTCAGCTCTTCTTGCCTTGTTGGAATATGTTTAGTTAATGAGCTCCCACTTACTTAGGGCTGAATGGCTACTGGAAGTAAAAGACAGTAATACAATTCTGTGTTAAGTAAGAGGTGTTAATGAGAAGGGGTAATACTTGTCAAGATCAATATCCCATTAAAAAACAAAATCTTATGTTACTGTAATTACCATCTGTTTTGTATATACCTTAATTTGTTTGATTCTTTTCTCCTAGGTTCCTGGTACAGTTCAGGCAGGACAAAGTATGTGTGAAGTTCATTCAGGGCAGCCAGAAAAATGGGAGTGTCCCAACATGCAAACGAAAAAACAACCGTCTCCTTGAAGTTGCTGTCCCCTAACTGCCGCCTCCTCTCTCCGCTTTCATGGACTCCTTGTAATAGTGCAATTTTGTTTTGTTTTGTTTTGTTTGGGGTTCATTGTATGTTTGGGAACTGCCAAAGGCTAACTGTTAGAGTTCCTTGGCAAAATAAAAGTATTTGACTAATCAATTTTTATTATTGGAATAGTTTAACCCTTCACTACATATTCTGTCCTGGGGCAGGATTGTAGAAACTAACAGTGTCTGTTTCTAATGTCATATGTGTTTTCTCTTTAGTTACCATGTTAGATTTGTGTACCCCTAAATCAACGTATTATTCATAAATCATTAACCCATGTAAGTGTAGGAAACGGTCTTAAAAGATAGTACATTCATTTATCAAATATTTATTGAATGCCCACTCTATGCTGGGCACTGTGCTAAATGGTATAGAAACTTATTAGGAGTCTTTTTTACTTTTAAGGCTATTGCATTCTGGCTGGTTTGTGCTGGTTTAACAACAGCTGAGAAGGTTTCACAAGACTGGGACCAAAATAATAACTAATGATGGACAGCATTAGTAGGATCCCTGTAACAGGATCACAAACAATACACACTTCAAAAAGGGCTGGTCCTAGAAGAAATATAAATATGACTGGGTGAAATCCCTCTCCATCTTTTTCTATTTGAAAAAAAGAAAACTGACATTTGAACAGGACATTTTATTTGTTTGGATCTCCTGTAATTACTTTTAACAGTAGAAGACAGAAGTCCTTATTTTAGAAAAAGTGACAGAAGGAGTCTGGTAAGACTGTTTCTGTTTCTGGTGAACATCATATAGGATCCTAGTATGTTAATATCTGCAGTGTTGTTTTCACTGGAATTTGAATAGCTATTTTCCCAGCTAACACATGAAGTTAGGCTGAAAGCCTCTTACAGAGTGGCAGACGTTCAGTATGATGTGCAATAAACATCCGAGATCTTTTTTGAAAGTTTTATTTATAGTATACATTTTTGTATGAGAGAGGTGGTTGGCACAGGGTGCATATTCTAGTCAAGGATCAAAAGTAAGTTGGTGTTAAATTGCGGGGCTTTTTTTTTTTTTTTCCTCTCCTTTCAAATTTACGATAAGGATTCATTTTGGAAACTACGTTTTTAAACTTTGAAACCAAATTGTTTCTTATTTGGGAGGATAATGTACATATCTTGGTATCATGTTAAATAATAAAATTGTTCTAATTTGGTGCCACTTGCTGGATCACAACTGTATTTTTGTATTTCAAACTATTTTCGTATGTTGTGTGTCAAATGTATTGTCTCATAGAATGGCTTTACAATCCAAACATTATGTGTTCTCTGTGCTAACTGAATTTCACTAATCTTTTATAAACCAGAAACAGTCATCGAAAATATTTTCTAAGGATTTTCTTTTGATTTTTGTACTTCAAAAAAAAATTGCTCACATAAAGAAATTCTCAGGAGTCTTTGTGTTTATTGGTGCAGGTAAAGGATAAAATTGTTTTCATTCTTTTCCACTATGGACCTAAAGTGGTAGATTGATCATTCCTGTAATAGATGAATAGAAATTTGGGACCGAGAGTAGTTTTAATTTTTTTTTTAAATAGGGAACACGTTTACATTGTTCAACATACCAGTTAGTGCAAAAAGGTGTAAAATACAAATTCTCCATCCAATCAGTCACCCATCTGCTCAGTTCCTGTCCCACCCCGCAAAAAGTTAAACTTGTTTTCAGTTGCTTTTACTACTTTTTGCAAATGCTTGCAAAGAAATAAGACTATAGACTTATCTTCCCCTGTGTTGGCAGACAAAAGCTGTTATGTGTTGCCTTGCTTTTCTCTCCCAGTGGAGGATCATGAAGAGATACTCGCTCTGGTTACCAAGGCAGTCCTCACTGGTATAGATGTGTTATAACTATTCACAGGTCCCTAGTTATCATCATTGGTAGCTTCCTGAAGGGAGCTTCAGGATGAAAGTCCTGAATGAAAGTCAGCATGGAAAAGACTGATGTTCTGTGGGTCTAAATTTTGTTAAATTTTCCCAGATATCTTATTTGCAGATTATTCATTGTGAGTTAGCCACAAGTAGTTACCACATATTTTCCAAAGTATTTTTTTCAATGGAGAAATCATATAATCTTAAACTGCATTGTTATGCAAGGATTTTAAAAAAATGTCCACAAAGAGATTTTAAGTGAGAATTTTATTTTAATAACTTTTGTCACTTATAGTTTTTGTCACTGAAATATCCAATAATTTGGGAACATGGAGCTTATTCTACATGAGCTGTTGCCTTTACTTGGTGGGAAAAGTTGGCTGAAGTTCATCCAGAAGGCTTTCTGTGTACCAGGCTGCAAATGTGCCTTCCTATAGTTGTTAATACTGGGAATACATATAGTGAGGACCTCCTTTCTTTTCCATGGAGCAAGCGATTAAGGAAAATGTAATTGCTGAGGGCAATTATTTAGAGATTTTCAATTTAGAAGCAAGATATGAAACCTTGTTTCTGAATCCTGAAGTTAAAATTGACTGTACCACTTGTCCTTTTGGAATCCCTCACATTCCCCATAAAGGAGAGCAGTAGTAACCTGACCACACTAGAACTGCGGGGAGAGCAACCATGGCTGACCCCATAGAGCAGTGTTTCAATGAGTGTCAGCCTGGATCAAAACCATAGGGAAAGCCTGTTTTAAGAAAGAATATTTTAAAAGCAAATATCTGAGGCTGGTTCCTGGGCCATGTCCTATACCAGTGAATCAGGTATAGGGTCTGAAAATAGGCATTTTAAAGAAGATCACCAGGACTTGCCCCATGTGTGAGGCCCTGGGTTCATTCACCAGCACTGCCAACAAAGAGGGCTGGGGGATCTCCAGATGATGCACACATTAAAGTTTGAGAACCAGTAGGAAAAACAGAGTTACTTTTTTAGCTACACACAGAAGTCTAGTCTACACACTAATCTTAAAAGTCCTATGGTGATTCTGATTCTGCCCAAGTGGTAAGAACCACTGCCCTAGAGCTTCTTTCCAGCTGCCTGTGGCATTGTTGGCTGCATTTGCTGATACTGCTCCAACCCCAACCCCATGCCCAATTAGTGGTTACTGATCTCACTCTATATCAGTAGACAAGCGACTAATAACCTTTATCTATGAATTTCTCTCAGTGTCATGCTATAGAGTTAAGGTACTCATGACACTCCAGAACTCTTGTGTATCTTGGTCTGGTCATACAGCCTGTCTTGTTCCAGGAATGGCTTAGGTTATGCAGCCCTGGGAGGGACCTCTTAGAGTAACTGGAGTTATAAGACCTGGTTACCCAGGATGTAGACTCCTGGATTAGTCTGGGAGTGACTAGGAATTACCCAGATCCAGAACCCTTGGAATGACTTAAGAGTTGATGTGCTGAGAAAAACGTAAATAGATAATGAATATCAAAAATCAGACTGGTAGTTGCCAGGGCGTACAGAGTGATTAGTGGAATTGCCCTTGACTTTGATTCTCAGCAACCACGGTACAAGGGAGGAATGTAGGAATAGTTCCTCTCTCACATACTGGTTAGTTTTGTATTTCACAATCTTGGACCCAGAACTCAGATGTTGAGACTTCAGCTCAAGTTTTGAATACCTTTGCTCACCGCCCCCAGAGATAATGGAGTGTCTCTAAAGGCAAAAAGCCAGGCCAAGAGTTCCGAGAATCACAAGCATATCCTCAGTATTAAGGGTTTGGCTGAAGTCTAAGAAAACGAACTGTTTTATTATCATATCATCTCAATTAATATGCTGAGAACTTGAGTTCATGTAATTGAGCATTATCATGATAATCAGAGCCTGATTTAAAATTCTTTTAGGCCAAGTATAAAAGACAAGCACTTTTGTTTCATATCTATTAGTTTTCATACAATAGGTTGATACTTTCTAGGCTTGATGAAAGCTTCAAATAGAAATACTCTCTTTAAAAAGATGTGTGTTGCTGGGGGGGAGGGGATTTAGTAGATTCTATCATGTGCCTCTTCTATTCTTCCACTAAGTTTTGACCAGTATGCATCAGGTTAAGAGCCTTCGTTTTTAAGCTGGGCATTGTTTCTCCATGAACACTACTGCACTCATTCCCTAAAGCAATTTGTCACAGAACTGAGAGGGAAGAGAAGGAAGGGCAGTAGTCTTGTTCCTCTTTGCTCCTGTGAGAAAAATAACATTAAGTTTCCTTCATCGTTTGGAGATTTTCTGTTGGTTTCTTCGCCATCGTTAGAGGAGCTCTCTTTGCCTCTCGTTTTGATAATTCTGTCATGCTCTCTGGTTCTCAGGTTCTCACCAGCAAAACCCTAGGAAGCTTAGCCTTTCGTGAGCTGGCCCTTGCTGCAGGTCTCATCAGCTCCGTGTCAATAGCCACACAGGAGAAAATTGCTTTTGAAACTGGTTCCTCCAAATCTTGGAAAGTTTGCCTCATTCTCTTTGGTTTGAAGATCATTTTCAAAATCTGGAGTTAATCACAGTTCAGCAAAGCCACAATCTTCCTCATTAATTTTTCCCCTGGCATGGTGGCCAGATCCCCTCCGCCCAGTTCCATAAAATTCAACAAAAGTCTAACTTTATAACCAAGGAAAACAGTTTCAGCTTCTAAGTGTTTTAAGGAGGGAATAGGGAACAGAATCCAATTCCATGTCCACCCTATACCCTAGCAGTACTGAGAGAACAAGGATCTACTATTTACCTCATTTTCAACTCAATTTTTATTTTTTTCTTGTTCACCAGTTAACAAATCTGGCACTTTCTCTTTATACTTTTTTAAAAATAGCTATCCCAGAACAGCATTTTATTTATTTATTTGTGTTGTGTTGTGTTGTGTGTGTGTGTGTGTATGTTGCTGAGAATTGAACCTAAGTCTTTGTGCATGCAAGACAAGCATTCTACCAATTGAGCCACATCCCTAGCCTTTTATACTTTTAAATGATGTGGACATCAGAAATGTGCACGTAAAAGTGAACTCATCCACATAACTATTAGCACCCAGAACACACATTCCCAACACAGCACTCAGAAATCCTTTTCTCTGTCTCAGTTATAATCTCCCACAAAGATTACTTAAAGTTATATACAACTTTAAAAGGAGTCACACATGTAGTCTCCTGCCTGGCTTCTGTCAGTCAACATAAGTATGAGATTCATCCATTTGCT